AAAATTAAAATAATTATTAAAGTTGTGAATTATTAATAACATTATTAATTATTAATTATTTTTTTATTAATAAGTAAATTTTTTTTTTGTTTAAACAAACGTGTAAAATAACGCGGTGAAAGTTTTGTACATAGAAATTTTTCTTTTTTTTTTTGGTAGTTTTTAAAAAGTATTCAAAATTTGTTTTAATTAATATTAATATTAATAATAAAATGCAAATAATAATTTATTTTACATTAAAACTAAACGATGATGATGATAATGATGATGTAAATGTATTTCAGATTGATAATAAGTTCCAGACAAATGAATTAATTCCAGGAAGATAAAAATTTTTGTCAAGAATTTTTCCTTTTTTTCTTAATAATTTTTTTCTTCTTTATCCTTATTATTTTATCATTATTATTATTATCCTCGTCGCATTCGTAATTTTCACATCGTCCAGATTTTATATTTTCAAATAATTTCACCATTCCCATTTTTTCCACAGCATCTGTTGGTGTGCTAAAAAAAAACATAATTTGTAACAACAATGGCCGACAAAAACGTTTAAATACATATAAAAAAAATCAAATTTCAATAATTACTATTTTGAAAACTTAACTGCGGTAATAATAATAATAATAATAATAATAATAATAATAATAATAATAATTTAAACATTATAATTTGATGTGTAATTTACAGCGTATAATAATAATAATATTAAAAGTTATGTTAAAATATTAGGTAATAACAATAATAATAATAATAATGGTGTATATTTAAAATTGCAATAACGTTTTTTTTTTTTTTTTTTTTGTAACTATCCTGGAATATTTTTTACGTAACGGTGGAAATACAATCGAAAATGTTTTATTAAATCAATAATACGTTGGATCGAATAATAAATAAAAGAAATATCGATTAATTAATTTAAAAAATACTCACTCGTTAGCCAAATTCCAAAGTTTTTTTTCAAAAATGCTTGCGGATGAATTGTTGTTACCCCTTAGAGCAAGTCGACACAAGATTTTATCTTTGCACTGTTGCAAATTTTCACTCATTTCGATACCGGACTCTTGGAGAAGGCGGTGGATTTCATAGTTTGAAAAATTCATAACGTTCGATTCGATAGATCTGAGTTTTGATGTTTTACCATCTCTAAAAATGAAAAAATAATTAAATAAAATTTTCAAGTGATGTATTAAATACAATTAAGTGATGTGCGTGTGTGCGTGCGCGTTCGCTCAAGTCGAAAAAAGTTAAAAGTGATAAAAAAAAATTTTTACTTACGTTGACGAATTTATATAAATGACCGAAGGTGTCAAAGACGCTAAAATTAATCCGATGGGTATAAGCGCTGTTGCCAAATGTGCTAATTTTTTCCATGAGCTTTTATATTTGTTATCTTTTTGACCATTGTTGCCGTCGACGTCGCTGTCGTCGCCGTGATTTAAGTAATAGTAATGGTGGTCGTTATGTTCTAGAACATTTTGGTGAATCGTTTTATACGGTGATTTATAATACGATAATGATTTTTCTTCATCGTAATGTGATAATGTCGGACGTGAATATGATTCTATTTGATCTTTTACTTGATTAGTGTACCAGTGTCCGTGTCCGTTGTGATTTTCAAAAGTATAAGGAAACGGTTTGAGAACATGGGATGAAAGAGACGGATGTTCAACTTTGACATTTTCACGTACAGGTATGTAACTTTGAGTTAAAAGAAAATTTTTTAAATAATCATCATCATCATCATCATGGGTTTTGATAGGTTTTGCATTGTACAATTCTTTTTGTTCGTAATAATTTTCATAGGGTCTTTGATATTTGTTGAATATATTTAATCGCGGTGGTATTTCACCGTCGTAAAATATATTTTCCGATGTGTTTTTATGATTATCCGGAAAAACAATCGTGGCAGTAGACGATGCATCGATACCACTTTCTAATATGTACGGATGATTTATCGATGTTTCCTCTCTTATGTCTCTTATCACCATTCCATTGTCGATCGGAGTGTCCGTTACGTTATATAATGTTATACCTTCCGTGAAAAATTCCGGTGTTATTTCCGTCGTGGTTCCAACAACCGAATCTTCCGTGTCTAAACCGTGACATCTGTCATCAAAAATCGTTATCAGAGTGACCCATATTAATTTTCGAAACATCTAAAAAAAGGATACAAATAAATGATTTATCAAGGTAACGTTCGCGTAACGAATTCTGGAAAAATCGTGTGAAATTAGTTTAAGCGGGTTGAAGTGTCATTAGACATTCGATGATGACCTTTTAACCATCACATAAACGTATACCCTATTATTAATTTTACGACATGAATAATAATTACGAAATATAAACAATTGATAAAAAATTTTTCGACGTCGGCCATTTTTTTTTTTTTTTTCGAATCCAAAAATGGAAAAATAATAATTTTAATAATAATTTTAAAGAAATTTTAACAAAATGGCGACGACGACGACGAATTATTTATTAAAATTTAAAAAAAAAAAACACGAAAAGAAAATTTTAAATATTTTCTCTCTCTCTCTCTCTCTCTCTCTCTCTCTCTCTCTCCATTTATAATAATACGAAAAGGGCAAAACGTCGTTATTTTTAATTTTAAAAATTTCTCTTTTTTTTTTTTTTTCTTTTTCTTAATACGGTACTCTTTTTTTTTTCAAAATACTTAATACGGTACTAATTTAGTTTCGAAAAGAAAATTTATGAAAATATATTTAAAAAGAAAAAAAATTTCCCAAAAACGTTTTTAACGGTTTTTTTTTCACTCATGTTTAACTGAAGGTTAAAAAAAAAAATTTAGGGCCCCGAAATTACCACGTGATTGTTGTTATAACTAATAAGGCCCAAAAATTATTTATTTATTTATTTAAATAAATAAATAAATAAATTTATAATGATGATGGCGTCGTACGTCATTTAAAAATAAATAAAACAAAAAAAAAAAAATTTTTTTTTAAATTTAAATTTTTAAAAAATCACTTTTTAAATTACGAGTAATAATAATAATAATAATAAATGATTTTGACACGATAAATGATAATAATAATAATAATAAATAAATAAACGACTTCGTAATAAAAATTTAAAAAAAAAAAAAATTTTCTTTTGTAAATCCAGTTCTTATTGTAAAAACACGTTCAAATCACCAAAAAAAAAAAATTAACTTACGTACTTGTAACCAATTAATAATAATAATAATTTTCGTGTACCTACTTTTTTAAGGTTTTCAATTTTACCAAAAAAAAAAACAACCAAGTTAGAAATAAAATAAAAAAAAAAACGTCGTTTTATTATTTTATATATGACGACGACCAAAAAATTTAATTTCGTCGCGCTAAAATTAATCGAAATGGAAAAAACCTTTTCTCCATTGTTTCATTATTCGAAATAAACAAACCGAATAAATTATTATTATTATTATTATTATTCGAATTTTTGAAAAACTCAATGGAAAATTTAATAATAATAATAATGATAATGATAATAGTAGCGGAAGTCGTTTTTAAAAACGGAAGGAAAAAAAAGGAAGAAAAATTTTTTTTTTCACATTTTTTTTATTTATTTAATTTTAGGTTTTTTTCGTGGGGGGGGGAGATGGGGGGGGGTAGACGAAGGAAAGCTTTCTCTCTCTCCGATTTAAATTAATAATTTTTATTTAATTGAATGCGATGATAATGATATTTTTACACGTGGCAAAGTGTTGTTGTTGTTGTCGCTGTTCGCAAATTAAAAATTAAATTTATTAATTTTTTTTTTTTTATTTGAATTTTTTGCTATTTTTTATTTACTTAAACCTGAACAAATGACACAGGTACACAGGGTCATCATCATAATCGTTTTGTATTAAAAACCTGGGGGGGGGGGAAACAAAAAAACACAGGTTTAGGTATTAAAAAAAACAAAAAAAAATGTTGAAAATTTATTTGATATAATTTTTATTTTTTAAATGTTATTGTTATTATTATTATTATTCATAGAAATTTTTTGTTTTTTTTTTTTTTTTTTTAACGTTAATTAACACGCAAATTAAAACGTTAAATTTTACGTTAACAATTAACGTAAATTATGATTGATTAATTTTAAAAAAAAAAAAAAAAAGAAAAAACTTTTTTAAATATTCCGTTATAATTATACATACATAAAGGAAAATGGCGAAGTTGAAAAAAAAAACGCCTGAAATATTTTTAATTATGCAATTTTACATACGTTTAATAATATAAAATTGCATATACGTTAAATCCGTGCCGGTATGGGTTTCAATTCGTTTTCGACTCTCATGAAATTTTCATCCTCTGGAAAATATTCTTCCGGACTCGTTTCGTCGAATAAGAAAATTTTTATGTCGTGCCATAAGAATAATTGTAGTCCCGTAGAATTTTCTGTTAGAAAAAAAAAAAGGAAAAAAATTACCGACTCGCGTTTAATTTTCAAAACGAAAAAAAAAAAAAAAAACAAACGAGCGAGGTTTATTATTATTATTATTATTATTATTATTATTTTCAAGTGACGAATTAGGGACTCGAAAAACTTTCTCGTTTTTTTTTCTTATTTTGTCTAATAGAATAATAATTTTAAAGGAAACATTTGAAACGCATTATTTTTTTTTTTTTTAAAGAATGCTTTCTCTTTAAATAAAGTAAAAACTAAAAACAGACGAAACAAACACAAACGCAAACACAAACACAAACACACATAAAGTAAAAAGTAAAAAAGTTTCAAAAAAATTTATATAAATAATAATAATAATTTAAAAAAAAATGATAATGATGACGATGTGAGTTTTTTTTAATTATGTTATTATTTATTTAAAATGATTTTGTGTTTTCATTCAATCATTCAAGAATTAAATCATTCAATCATTCATTCATTCATTCAGAGACTTAAAGTAACAAACAACACATTTGATAAGTTTACGACTCGTGAAGTTTGAGTCACCTGTTGAAAAAACAAAATATTTAAACATTATTTTATGTTAAATAATAACAATAAATATTTAATTAAATTTAATTAATAATGATAATGATGATTTTTCTATTATTCTCGTGGGGGGAGGGGAGTGGAGGGAGATTTCAATAGGAAACAAGGAAATGTAAAAATTAAAAGAGGAAAATGAGGTCATTTTACGTTTTCCACGCGTTAAAAACAAAACAACAACAACAAAAGAAAACCGTTTAAATTTTAAATTTTAAACGTTGGGGGGCAGGGAGGGGGGAAGGGGAGGGGAAAAAGAAAGTGAAAGGATTTTAAAAAAAAACAATTTTTTGCTTTACTGAACAAAACTAAAAAAAAAAAAAAATTCTCACGCGACATTTTTTTTTTTTTACAAAAAAAAAAAAACAAATCCAAAAAATTATTCTCATACTCCAGTCATATCCGACATACTTTTTTAATTTTTTCTTCAAAAAAAAAAAAAATAAATAAAAATGGCGGTCGGCAATAATAATAAAAGGAAAAAGTGAAAAAAAAAAAATAATTAGCTAATGAAAAATACTAATAATAATGATAATAGTAACATAAATAATGAAAACACTTAACCGCTTTACTTTTTATAATAATTAAACGCCATAAATATCTTTCCATGATCGTTAGTGCGTGCGTGCGTGGCAATAGAAAGACATTTTCTTTTTAAACGAAAAAAAAAAAAAAAAAAAACACAACCGTAATAAAACTTTCTTTTTTTTCCATTTGTTTGTTTGTTACCTTCGATATTTTGCGTTGATACTCGTGGAAACGTGAAAAACACCGACAACAACAGTAAAAAAAAAAATTGTAAACTTTTCATTATTATTATTATTATTATTATTATTATTATTATTATTATTATCCCTAGGAACGAAATAAAATTTGAAATGAAAATGGAAAACAAAAAAATAGACAAGAAAGAAAAAATAGAAAGAGAAAATTTTTTTTTTTTTTATTTTCTTAGTTTTAAATAAGGATAGGGATTATTATTATTATTATTATTATTATTATTATTATTAATATGATAACAAATTTTTTGTTTGTTTGTTTGTTTGTTTGTAAAAAATAATTATGAGCTGTTTTTAAATATTTTATTATCGTAAACAAATTTTTCCTCATTATTATTATTATTATAAACCGTATACGTACTTTAAAAATTTTTTTGTGCTTTTTTTTAAAAAAAAAAAAAAAATTCCAGCAATAAAATAATAATAATAATAATAATAATAAAATTTCCAGTAAGTTTTTTTCTCCATAATTTTTTTGGTCATTATTGTGGGAGAACCTGATGATAAACAAGATTTTCATTAACGGGGGGTCAATCAACTTATGTAAACGTAATCGATAAAGTCGTAAAATTATAACAAATGATCGTTTTTTTTTTTTTTTTCTGCCACGTTTATAATCATTTTAATGCCACGCCTTCCGGTAGGTGAATTTGGAAAATTTGGAAAAATGTCAAAATGAACATTTAATTAATTTTATAAAAATTATCAAAAAACGATCGAAATATTTTTTTAAAACCACCATGTTAATCGTTAAAAAAAAAAAATTTTCTTTTGTCGTGTCATTAGAACTACGTCATCATCATCAAACTTCCGATAAATCCGTAACGTTTTAAATCTTATTTAAAATGAAGAATAAATAAAAAATAAAAAATTCGGACAAACGATATTAATAAATTTACAATTGTTAATTTTTGTTTTGTTTGTTTTGTTTGTTTCGTTTGTTTTGTTTGTTTCGTTTGTTTTGTTTGTTTCGTTTGTTTTGTTTGTTTTGTTTGTTTTGTGTTGTTTTGTGTTGTTTTGTGTTACATGTGAATCATTTTAAATTTTCAACGATTTCTCACGATCGAATATTAAAAACGAAAGGAAAACATTTTAATGAAACAAAAAGAAACAAAAAGAAAAGAAAAAAAAAATTTTCTCGACGCTAAATATTAAAAACCATTAACTGGATAATAAAAATGGATGAAGAGGAGGTGGAGGAGTGGGTGGAGTAGGAGGAAGAAGATGAGAAGAAGTAGGAGTTAAGATGAATGTGGAGGATGCGAGGAGAGAGAAACGCAAATAAAAAAAAAAAAAAAAATTCGTTTAGTTTTTTTTTCATGAGAATGTAGTTCAGGTATTAAAAGTGCGAAATTTTTTTTTTTTTCTTTTTGTACTTAATTACTACACTTTCGCATGTTCAGTTTGTTACTGACCTTGAAAGAGATAAGTATTAAAATTTTTTATGGTTGTTTGGTTGTTTTAAACTTAACCAAAAGTATAAAATTCAGTACATCAGGAAAAAAAAAAAAGAAAAGAAAAACCATCGAAGAATCTAACGAAGAATCATCGAAGAGAATTTGATGAAAATTAAAAACGAACGAACAACAATTATCCAGGTAATTATTATTATTATTATTATTATTATTATTATTATTATTATTATTATTATTATTATTACTATTATTATTATTATTATTATTTATTGAATTTTAAAAAAGAAAATCGATTTGGAATAACGTAATGATAAGTAATTGATAAGTTATCGATACTCGTTACGTCACTCTTCGGAAAAAAATCGATTTTCCACATTTTCCAATAATTTTTACGAATTTTCATGTGATTAATAATAATAATAATAATATTAGGGTGTTAAAAGGAAAATTTTTAACGAATTGATAGGACGAGGAGGAGGAGGAAGCGGAAGTGCGATGATCGTTAATAATTTTTTTTTTTTTGACTACGATTAGTCGTTTGTTAGTCGAAAAAAAAAAATTTACACGACGATAAATTTGTTTGTTTGTTTGTTTGTTCGTATCCATTTTTTAAGAATATTTTCCGTGAGCATTAAAATTTATTATTATTATTCTTATTATTTGAATAATGTAAAAATTTATGAAGAGTCGTAAAAAAAAAAAAAAAAATTTTAATCTTTTGATTATTTTTAGCAAAAAAAAAAAAAATGGCGACTAAAAAGAATTTTCTTTACAGGATGTCATTGAAAAAATTTTTATTGAGTTCGTCGTTTGTGTTTTTCATCATTCTGAACGACGTTGTCGAATGTCATAGATTAATAACGAATCCATATCCGGTTCAAGAATATGATTCGATAGTCGTTTCATCCGATCCTATACGAATAACGGAAAGAAAACAAGAAAATGAAGAAGAAGGAGGAGGAGGAGGAGGAGGGAAAAATAAATATAAAAAATACAACAACGAAAAAGCAAATAAAAGATCATTTAACGATTGTCCAAAAAATGATTTTAAATGTTTGTACGGGTCATCATCAGACGACGGGGAAGAAGAAATCAAAGGACAAGAAAATGGAAATTATTATTATTATAACGACGATTGGAAAAATAATCGGGATCAGGTATCATATTCGCAAATAACAGAAAGTACGACAAATTTAAACGATAATAATAATGATGATAAGAAAAAAATAAATTCGGGTAAATCTTATTGGGATGGTCATCGTCATCATCATAACAATCATGGAAACGGTCACAATACCTACGATGATGATAGAAATAGATGGGTGACTCTGGATCCGGTACCTTGGTCGACGAGTAAAATATCAAAATGGAAACCGAACGTGGAAATAAACGAAACACCGTCACCGTGGTTGGATAATAATCATAACAATCAACAACAACAACATCCGGTTCAACAATTTTGGGTATCGGGTTCTAATTTAAAACTTCAAAAACCTCACACGCAATGGGGTATAGGATCTAATAATGATATAATAACAGACAACAGGCCGAGTAGTTTTCCTAACGATAATAATAATTATTCATACGAACCGCATAATCAAAACGAATTTAAAGAACCATACAGAAGAAGGTATCAGGTATCGTCGGAGTCGACGAATACGAATACTCATCATCATCATCATCCTTCAACGTATCCGAGTTCGGGTAACGGAGAATGGGTTTTGTTATCGACTAAAAAAGGTTATTCGCATCCCCGCAAATCCAACGAAAGGGTTTTATGGTCGAGAAATATAAAACCCATCGATATATCACGGTACCACGAAGAAAATTTAACGGATAAAAAGTACATGCTTATCAATAAGCAAACATTCGGAGGAAGTGGAAAGAACAAAACTGTCACCAACAATGGAGTTGGAATGATTCCGTTACAAATAATTCAAAGGAATCCGATAAAAAAAGGCGGTGGCGAACCTACGAAAACGACAACGAAAAAAATTAAACTTGAAGTTTTACCATCTTTGGAAAGTACCACCCTTAGTTATGGTGGACACGTCGAAGTCGATACGAAACCCGTAAGTTGACTTTTTATTTTTTTAAAAAAAAAAAAAAAGCGGGAAATGATTTTTGTAAATTGATTTTCCAGGTTTACGATAGATTACAAGATGATAAAATTAAAAAATTACAAAATGTTAAAAAAAATAAAATAAGAAAATATAAATTAGTACCTAAAAATATGGTGACCGGAAAAGGGGTGGCACAGAGGAGTGCTTTAACGATAGCAGCCGTTGGTGCGGGTATGATACCCGCAACTATGGCTCTCCTCCTACCCATGGCACTGAGCAGAAATAAAAGAAGCAACAGGTTTCAAGAGGAAATAAATCGTCAGATATTCACTCCGAATGCCTCCCCCAATAAAATGAAAAAATAAAAATTTGGGCGCCTTTTTTCAAAATAAACTTCCGGTAAAACCAAAAAAAATAATAATAACATAACAAATTTTTTTTCCATTCGTTCAATTTTTTTCGCGGTTTTTTTAAAACTCTACTTCCGGTAAAACAAAAAAAAAAATAACCAAACAAATTTTTTATCCATTCGTTCAATTTTTTTCGCGCTTTTTTTTTTTTTAAACTCATCGATTTAAATTTTTAAAAAAAAAAAAAAAAAAGCGGGAAAAATAAAATTCCCTACGAATTTAAATTTTAAAAAAAGGCGCCAAAATTTTTTAAATTTTAAATCAAGTTTAACCGTTAGAATCTAACATTTGTGTCAGACGTCAATCAATCAATCAATCAATCAATTTATTTATTTATTATAATTTATTTATGTATTTATTAAAATAAAAATGGCTTCCTTTTTTTTTGTAATGAAAAAAAAAACTCATTTTAAATATTATCATTATTATTATTTTAAAAAAAAAAATTATATTTATTTATTTATTAATTATATTTAATAAAAAAAAAAAAAAATTACAAAGCGATTAAAGTTTTCATAGAGTGTGTAAAAACATTTAAACGTTTTATTTTTTTTTTTTAAATGGCGCCATTTTATTTTTCAAATGTTTATTTCGCCGCCATTTTTTTTTTTTCAAATGTTTGTTCGACGCCATTTTATTTTTCAAATGTTTACACGCCGCCATTTTGTTTTAACATCACATTCGTTACGAACGCGTCGCGACGAAACGGACGCGATTTTTTTTTTTTTTTTAAAGTGAATAATTTTTTTACAAATTCGACATTTTCCGGAAACAGTTTGAAAAATCGATAATATTTATTATTATTATTATTTATTATTTATTATTTATTTATCGATACGTGATCGTGAATTTTTTTTTTTTTCCTCCTCCTCGAGAATGGGGTGGGAGAAAAAAAATAACGGTTTTTTTTGTGTGTGCGTTGTACGCGTGTGTATTTATAATCCGTTAATTTCCGTTTTATCATTTAATTTCCGGTTTTTCGATTCGTGATATTTTTTCGGTAAGTTTTTCTTACTGTGAAATATTTTATTTGATAATTTCAATTCTTTTTTTGTCGATTTTGAATATTTATCGTTTGTTTGTTTTCCTTCTACTTCTTCTACTTGTTCTTGTTGTTCTTCTTCTTCGGTTAAAAGTGACGTCAGTAAGGGATCATCTTTGAGTGCTGAACGTTTTTCCCTTTTTAAATTATCATTTTCCTCACCGAAAAATATTCTCGACCATGGATTTTTTTTCCTGTTGTATTGCACGGTTGTCGTGTTCGTAAATGATTCGTCTACTTTTTTCTGTATTACGTCTAAATATCTGGAAAACATGTCGGTTGTACTTTTTAAAAAATTTAATCCTAATTTAAGTTTGAATTGTGCCAACCTTCTCAACAATTCCAAAACGGAATTCGTGGGTGATGACGTCGATCCAATGTTGCCATCATCTTCAAAATATGGTTCCGTCGTGTCTTCCGTCGTGGTCGTGGTCGTCATCGTCGTGGTTGTCGGACTCGTGGTGGTCCGAATTTTAACTTCCGTCATCGCGGGGGTTGACGTTTCCGTTTTTGGTGACGCGTTAGTCGTTAATAATTCAAAATTTGTCAACGGGCTGATAATTTCTTCGGAACTTTGTTCGGATATTTTATGATCGACTATAGAATCGATTTCGTTATCCTCATCGTTTTCCATTTTTGTCCTTTTTCTTGCTATCCTTTGTATGTTGTCTCCGACGTTTCGTTTCCTACGATTTTTACTCTCCGATTCCTTTGAATTTTTCGTCAAATCTAAACTTCTCGGACCGGGTTCCAATCGGGAATATTGTTTTAACGGTTCCATAGGTGTCCCTATTCTGTGCCAATTGTTTTGCGATGATGTTTCTTTGCTTTGATCGTTTCCGACTCTGTACAAAGCTTCCGGTTGTTTTTCAATCGTATCGGAATTTAATTTTCCATATTGGGAATTTTTATTCGTATTGTAATTCGTTGAACTGCTTTTCTCACCGGAAACCATACCCGTCGTTTCCGGATAAACGAAACTCGTACCCGTTTCTCTCGTATATACCGGATATTTTTCGTTAAATTCCGAATTGTATTTGGTATCCGTCGTGTCGTAATTAGACGAATAAGAATGTTCTTGGGGATAATTGGCATCGTAGTTTCCGGTTCCTTTGTCCGAATTGTACGAACTACCACCACTTTGCTCCGAGTAATTGGGTGTTTTTATCGTTTCGTATCCTGCGTTCTTCCGATTATAAGAATCCGAGTACGTCGAATCGCCATGCGTGATACCGTATCGACTTTCCTCGGGCATGCCGGACAGCACTTCCCTAAGAAGACTTTCTTCGGATTGCCCACCGTCATTATAATCCCCGCTGTAAGAATAATAGTTGGACGGTGAATATCCGTGACTCGTTTCGTAAGTTCTTCGAAGTGGAACGGTCGAACTGACAAATGGGTTGTAACCTAGGAAGCTAGCCAAACCCGCGGTTAGTGCCACGCCAATCAATCCTAATCCCACGGTCGGTACGATTTCCCTCGACAAAAAATTATAAATTTGACTACCGACGGCCGGAGTCGGAGGAACTTTGGATTCTATCCTCGTTTCCGGTTGTTGTTTCTTCTTCTTCTTATTTTTCTTTTTTTTTTTCATAGTCGATTTCTTTTTTTTCGTCGTCGTGCTTTCCACAGACGTTTCCGTTGTCGATGATGGATTGTTGTTTTCTTCCGTCACGCTCAATCCGGTAAAATCTTCCGTGGATAAGAAAAAATGCGCGGGTAGTGTTTGAGCCGTTTCGCTTTGTTTTTTCAAATTTTCGACTCCATCTTTTTTTTCCGTTCCTCCCTTTTTTTTCGAATCCGTTGTAATTTTTTTCTGCGAGCCATTTTTAATTTCGGTCGTTTTTTGTTTGACCGTCGTCGGCGTATTCGTCGTTGTCGTGGCAGTAGATTGACTCGATATTCCATTTTTTTTTTGTATTTTTACCAATGCTTCCAATGCCGATGTTGAATTCGTTTCGTTTTCTGTCGTTTTTTTAGTCGACGATGTTTTCACCGTTGTTTTTTTCGTCGTTGTAACTTTAGGAGTTGTGCTGGAATTCTTTACCGGTTTTTTAGTTGTCGAAACATTTCCGGTTGTTTTTTTCTTACCGTCGTCGTTGCTGCTGCTGTTGTTGTTGTCCTTTTTACTACTTTTCTTCGGAGACAACGTCGTCATTTCTCGATTATCGCTTAATAATATCCAAGTCGACAAACCGCTTGATGGTGTCGTTGTCAAATAAGATTTCGTTATCGTGTTCTTTTTCTTCTCATCTTTACCAGCAGGTTTAACAACGACAACTTCTGGAATTTTCTGCAATATTTTATTTGGCGGATTCGTGACGATGTCGTCATCCATGACGACGGGTATGGCGATACCTTTTATTTCCGTACTCATTTGAACTTTTTTAGTGTTCGAAGATTTACCCTCGAAAGCGTCGGTAAAGGAAAATTTTTCCGTGCTCGTCATCGTTCCATCGTCATCGTAAATAAACGTCACCGGCATGGATTTTACATCGTCGTCATTTTCCTTCTTATCCGAATTTTTCTCTTTGAAAATTTCTTTCAATTTCGGTGGAGTTCTCATATCGGTTTCGACCATTTGACTAACGGTATCCCCAGATGAACTCGATGATGGTCCCGATGGACCTGAGGGTCCAACGCTGGAAGCTCTCGCAACCGTCGCAATCGCTTCTATGTTAAATGTTGTTTTCCCATTTGAATTTTCCGTTTCCGACACTGGAACCCGTTGTATAATCGGATAAATCGAACTGGAAAACAAAAAATTTATTAACTCCATCATCATCATTTTAAATAAAAATAATATAAATTACAAATAAAAAAAAAAAAAACAACCGTAAGATTAACACGTTATAAACAAATACTTACGCAAACAAATTCCAGAATTTTTTTTTTTTTTTTTTTAATTCTCCATGAATAAAAAACGAGAGAGATAGAGAGATAGAGAGAGAGAGAGATAGAAAATAATAAATTTATTTAACGTTATATTCATTTTATTTTCAAATTAAACATTTTGAAATGTGTTTACAGTTAATTCCTCCGTATTTATGCCAAATATACCGTCACTGACGTAATTTTATTTTTTTTTTTATTTTCAGGTAAGTCTTTGAAATGCACAAGTTTTTTCTTCTCGGTAGTAGGACAACGAACGGGTCAATCATAAAAAATAATAATAATAATAATGATAATAAAATTTGGCGAAAGCTTAAATACATATGAATTTTTTTATAATGAAATAAGTAAAAAAATTTCCGTGACGACGAGAATATGACCGGAATATTCATACATTATGTATACACAATAAGCTTTCGTACAAACAATAATGATAATAATAATAATAATAATAGATTATATGAAGAAAAGTGAAACTTCTTCTTTGGTTGACATGATGAAAAATTAAAATTAAAAAGGTAAGGTAAAAAATTTTTTTTGTGTTTTTCAATGTAATAATAATGGGCGAAAGTCTTTGTGATGATAATTTTCAAACGACTTATGTATCGGGTGCATACGCACAAACGCACGCATGCACGCACAAACACACGCACACAAATTTAAAAATAATAATAATAATTTTTCTCCAGCGGTTTATTAATTAATAATAATGATTAATTAATTTTTTTAAACGACTTGACAAATAAAAAAAAAAAATTAATTCACGTCGGAATTATTATTATTATTATTATTATTATTATTATTATTATTATTATTATTATTATATAAACAAAGGGAAGATTAATCAAAAATTGAATGTAAAGAAAATTATTATTATTATTATTATAATCGCGGTTAGAATGATGATGATGATGATGATATAAACTCGTTGATTTTTTTTTTTTTTTTTTTTTTTTTCATTTATTATAAACGATTCAACCTGACACAAATTTAAATAATAATAAATAGGTTATATATATATATATATATATATATATATATATATATATATATATAGAAAATTAAGGTCGTAGTCGGTTAGTTAAAGGAAAAAAAAACAAATATGGCGTCCGGTAACAACGTTTGAATGTTAAAAATATTTTGCGGCTAATGACCTACCGAACGAAAAAAAAAAAAAAAAAAAATCGGTTTAACGCACGCGGATAAATGTGCGTAAATATCATTTACGATTGCATTTCGTACTCGTAACCCGGTAATTATAAACGATCTTTGTCGTATCGGTCATTACCGCAAGTGTAACAACTTGACAAAAAAAAAAAAAAAAAAAAAAGTTAAATTTTTGAAAGTTTATCGACGAGAGATTTCGAAGAATTTATAAAAAAAAAAAAAATTATATATTTTGCGGTCGTTAATTTTCGTTTGAAACAAACAAACAAACAAACATACAAACGAACGAACAAACAAACGAACAAACATACAAACGAACGAACAAACGTTTTGAAATTTGCGTAAAATCATCTTTTTGTCTTAACAAACCATCCCGCGTAAGGATTCGACGTCATTTTTTTAAAATTTTCAACCGGAAATTTACCGCGACTTCTTTTCGCGCGTTTTTTTTCAAATTTTAACTCTAACTTCCTCCCCGTCGATTTAAACGATCTCACCCATAAAATTTGGGGGAAAAACCAGGATAGAATTTTCGTCCACACATTAATTTTACTCCTTAAAAATATGCTCACGAATGAATTGAAAAAGAAAAAACTAAATAGTTTGTTTAGAGTTGACCAAACGGAATCCAAAATGGCGAAAATTCCAGAGGTACCACTGGAAGGTTTAACGTTTTGATCGTACACGACAACGGGACGGTGACCCCCACCGTTGGGTTTTGTCATAACAACGTTATTCGTTAAATTATTGTTTATGTAAATGTTAATATCTTGACACCCTTCTTTGATGACGTCTCGGTTGTTGTTGTTGTTAATCGAGTTTGTCGTTGTTATCGATACTTTCGGACAATCGGTTTTGTTATGTTTTTTTTTCGTAACGATTTCGATCGGCGGTGTGGATACGTGTTCGAAAACGTCAGAGGATTCTGGATGAATGACGTGCAAATCGTGATTTACCGTTGGATTAAAACCCGATTGGGAATCCCCGTTTCCGTCGTTTGACGGAAGTGATGATGGCGGTTTAAGGGGTCCGTTTAAAACGTGTATAGGTTTCGAAGTCAATGAAAAAACGTTCGGAAATGGATTTTGAACGGTTGGAAAATACGGTGGTGGCATTTCGATTTGTAACGGAAGTACGGGTGGTGACACGTGGGGATTATCGTGCATCGACGGTTTTATCACGTGTAAAGAACTCGTCGTCGAATCGTCCGGAAATGGTTTCGTCAAATCTTCCAAAATGATTATGGAAGGTTTGTCGTCGTTTGTTAGGGGTTTTATGTTGTTCGCGTACGTGTTGTAAAGATCTAGATCCTCGGAATTTTCAATACCGTTTTGATCGTTCGGCCATTTTTTAAATACGTTTGTTTTTTTTATAGTTACCGATACGGGTACGTATTTGATTTCGGGTGTTCCCCCTCCACTGTTATTATTATTAGTATTTTTCTTTTTCAATTTTAAACTTTCGATATTATCGCGTGACATATCATCGATTCTCATATACGCTAACGTATCATCGTCCTTATGTTTAACCCTATACGCTTTTTCATACCTGTTTGTATTATTGTCTAGTTGTTTAACGGCTCTGTACACCGGATATATATTTTTTATATCCACTTCGTGCGGCGGCCTTCCGTAACCGTTGCATACCATACTCGCAACGAATAATATTATCAGCCAATAATTATGAGACATTTTCACTAATACTTATAGCCTGAAAAAACAAAAAAAAAATACAAAAAAAAATTAATTTTTTATTTAAGGGGGAGTGGTGGCGGTGGCGGTAATGGGGGGACTAGTGCGGGGGGGGGCGGGGAAATTTCCGAACCAAAAACGAATGCGATTGGAATTTTTTTTTTTTTTGTTTATTAACACGCTCTATACATAAATATTAATTACAGCGTTATAAAGCCCGTTAGTCTCCTTTTAATTCCTAATAATAATAATAATAATAATAATAATAATAATAATAATTCAAGTCGTGGCAGTAGCTCAATGCAATTATTTACTACAAGTCCGTAATAATTTATATTAATGATGACCGTTAAGTAACGTAACTTTTTTTTTCTTCCCCTCATCCCTCTCCTTCCCCCCCCAAGTTATCAACAGCTCAAAAAACGAAAAAAATTTCAATTTAATTGATTATTATTATTATTATTTTTCGTTGGACCCGACGAATTCGATAAAAACAAAATTTTAATTACTTTAATTAACTTAAATTTTTTGTTCTTTATTACCACAAATTTATTTAACCCGAATTAAAATGGCGGCGACGGTGGCGATGATGATGATGATGATGATAATAATAATAATAAATTTCAAAACGAATTTTTTTTTTAAAGTACTTCCACGCATTATTTATTAAGTGCAACTCGGTGTGTTTTTATTACACATATATTTATCATACGACGAGTGAAATTTTCTTATATTTTTGTTGTTTTTTATGTTTCAATTAACGTAACGGTTCAATTGTTTGCTATAAATGTAACAACGTAATAAATAATAATAATAATAATAATAATAATATAGTTAAAAATTAAAATAATCTTATACAACCCGGAAGGAGGAGTACATTATCATCATCATCACATCAATTATTAAAATATATATATATACGCATTAGTTAATTTTAAAAAAACGCGCGCGCGTCACGTGACACACATACGTTTTCATTATTTTAAATAAATAAATAAATAAATAAATTATTAAAATAATAATAATAATAGTAGATATGTGGAATGACGTTTGGATGCGAGAAATAACGCGTGCGTAAATTTCAAATGTAAAATTCGACTGATTATTATTATTATTATTTATTTTTTTTAAATGACAAATAAATGCGTAATAATAATAATAATAATAATAATAATAATAGAAAGTCTCGGAATGAAATTTATTATTATTATTATTAATTTTTCCGAATGCGAATAGGTCGAAAATAAATAAATAAAATTTGCCAACAACAACAACAACAACCGGAAATTAAAAATTTAATTTATTTTTATGCAATGATTTAGAAAAAATGTTCGAGAACATACTTATTTGTTCGCCACGCACAACAACAACAACAACAAACACAATTTTTCACTTCCTTTAAATAATAATAATAATAATAATAATAAAATAATAATTATCGTTTTGTCGCATTGTTATTATTCTTATTATTATTATTTACATAAATTTTCCACTTTGCGTGTCTCCCCCCCTTCCCCATTTATTTATTTTATTTTACAATCGTCGAACCGTTTAATAATAATAATAATAATAATAATAATAATAATAAATGATACGAATTAATTAAATTACGTAAAAATAATTAAATATCGAATTTTATATATTTTTTCCGGATAGCCACGTGGAAATAGTTTTAAAAAAAAAATGATAGGCGCCAGTCGAAAGAGAGAAAGAGAGAGAGAGAGAGAGAGAGAGAGAGATTTGATAACAGTAATGAATGAATATTATTATATGAGAAAAATTAACGGTAAAAAAAAGGTAAAAATGGATGCAATGTCAAGGACTCAAGGTCATTATGCCAAATCTCTCAACAAACGAGATGAAGAAGAAGAAGAAGGAAAAAAAAATTTTTTTTAGGGCCTAAGGGAAGGTGAATGGTTTCGTAAGAATGTTGTTTTTTTTTTTTTTCTTTTCCTTTCGAGTTTTTGTAATTGTAAAAGAAAAATCGTGGTAGGATTCATAACTGAAACCACGTTTGAAGTTGTTACGCACACACACACCACGTGTAAGAAGAAGAAGAAGGAAAAAAATCATCATCGCGGAATAAAAAAATCACGGGAAAGTGATGATGATAATGATGATATGTTTAAATAAGTGGGTCACTCGGTACAAAAACAAACATCAACTTCCTGTCAACGTGACGGAGTAAATAAATAAACCGTGGCAGAAGAAGAAAAAAAATTTAAAAGAACTTTTAGATTAATTAAATCGTTCGACCGTATCAAAACGATAGATATTTAATAAATGACTCAACCGGAAATCGCAACCGTAACGATTGTTACAACAAACATATTCGCAAATCGTCGTGGCACGAGACAAAATAATTTAAATCATTACGACGAGAGAAAAACAATTAAGTTTTTTTTTATTACCGTTGACTCGAAAATATTTTTTTTTTTTTTAATCTGATGGTCAAAAAAGTTCAAAAAAAATTTTTTAAATTTATTCGTAATTTTTTCCGTACGGTATTATTATTATTATCATTATTATCATCATCGTCACCTTTCGGAGAGACGCGAGACAAAATTTCCCTAAGAAAAATTTTCCTCTTAAACGCGGATGCTGCGATGATTCTTCTCTAAAATATATTTAAAAAAAACAATTTCAATTATTATTATTATTATTATTTCATTCTCGTTCGATTAATCGCGATTCGCTAAAAATATCGTTAATAATAATAATAATAATAATAATAATACGCTTTCGTCAAAAAAAAAAAAAAATTTCAAACGAGTTCATACGTCAAATCAAATTCGGAATAAAAAAAAAAAATTGATGATAATTTTTTTTTTTTTTTTTTTTTTTAATCAGAACTCGTTTGTTGTTTGTTGTTGTTGTTGTTGCGGTTGTAGTTGTTGCGAAAACATTCTCTTATACACCTACAGACGTAAAAGTAATGTAAAATGTTGTACAAACTTATTTTTTTATAAACCGATAAATTACCGTTAGAAAATTATAATAATGATAATAATAAAAAATTTAATTGATTTTCTTTCATGGTCGACTGTTGTTGTTGTTGTTGTTGTTGTTGTTGCAGGCCTGTTTGTCGAATATTTTTTTATCGTACCTGAGAAAGGATATGTTGTTTAATCGAACCTTAAAATCGTTATTAAAAACTCACGCGATGTAAAATAAAAAAAAAAAACATAATTTTAACTCGTAAATCGCCTTTTTTTTTTACTGATCAGGTATAAAAAAATTTTTTTCGTATCGAGATGTGTACCCCCGCCTCCCACCCCCCGCCTATCGAGATGCTGGATAAAAAAATAAAAAATAAAATGCCTTTAAGTGATGACATTAAATCGTTTTCGATCGATGACGTCGACACAGGTTTCAAAATACAAAAAAAAAAAAACGTACCTGAAATAATAAAGTAAAAAAAAAAAAAATATTTTCTGCTAAAACTCTAAACAGAATTTTTTTTTTTTTTTTTTTTTACTCATCATCCCTAAAGTAATTAACAATCACCAGAAAAAAACCAAATAATAATAATAATAATAATAATAACTTACGTCTAGTATTTAATTAATTAATTAAAAACATAATAATAATAATAATTTAAATTAAAATAACGTCACATAAACATTAACAAAAAAAAACAAAAATTTTTTTACTGTATGTTTTATGTTACTCTACGTGATTGTGTTTGTGTTTGTTTGCGTTTGCGTGTGTTTGTGTGTGTGTATGTGTCAACCAAAACCTGAACTTGAAATTGATGAACTGAATGAGTTGTTGTTGTTGTTCGGTTAGAAATAAGTTTAAAAAATAAAATCAAAGAGAGAGGGGAGAAAAAAAAAAACCTACTCGGTGGTATTAATGGAAGTTTTAAAAATTAACGCATGACGATACGCACACACACACACACACACACACACACACACAAATCGAAAATTCTAGAAAGAAAAAAAAAACATTTTTTTTCTCTCTCCTTTTCTTTTCTCTTTTTAAAATTATAATAATAATAATAAATAATAATAATAATAATAATGGGGTCGGAAAAAAATTTAAAATTTTAAAAATTACGTAGTCGTTTCGTACAGGTACAAAGTTTAACACGAAAAAAACCGTTTGGATTTTTTTTATATTTAGGTTAGTGTCTTTTTTTTTTTTTACTTTTTTCGTTACTCTTACGATTTAATATTTAACTTCCCTTTTCGCTTACCCTCCACCCCCATCTCCTCCTGCCACGCACGCATCCAAACGTTATTTTCTTCTTCCACGTCAATTTTTTTAAAAAAAAAAAAAAAAAAAAAAAAAAAAAAGAACAGTTAGTAATAATAGTAAATGTCGTCGTCGTATTTGGGAGGCGTAACATTTAAAATACTAATTAGTACCAAAATGAAAAATTATTCATTTATTTACTACTACCCCTACTACTCCTACCCCCACCCCTACCCATACTACTACTACTCATTTTAATTCATTGAAAAATTAATAATAATAATAATAATGGGTAAACAGTCGAAGAGAATTATTATTATTTAAAATGTGAAAGTCGGAATTTTAACGTCAAATATGACGAATTTAATGAATAGGAAAAATGAGAGAGAAAGAGAGAGAGAGAGAGAGAGAGAGAGAGAGAGAGAGAGAGAGAGAGAGAGAGAGAGAATTACAAGGAAAAACGCAAATTTTTTTTTTTTTTGTGTGAAAGAAAAAAAAATAAATAAAAAATGTTTAATATCGAACGAACCTTTAGTAGTTTAGCCAAGCTAACTATACCAAGAACGTTAATTTTTTTTTTGTTAATGGCTCCTCGAAACAGGTACCGTTACCGTCGAATACCTTCTAACACACACACACCTTTTAATAATATATATATATATTTTTTTTTCGTTTTATGTTTACCTTACGGGTGAAATTATTTCTATGAAAAAAGATTGCCATTATTTTTTTTTCATAGGAAAAAACGAAATGAGAAGAGCCCCCCCCCGGAAATATATGTTTCAAAAGAATTCTTAACATCCCTACTCTCTCTCCGAGTTTTTTTTTTTTTTTTTTTTTTTACTTTTTTTGAATTTTAAATTGGAAAGGTTTTAACGCGTTAGAAGAAGGGTTGTTTTTCCCTCCTTCCCTCCCACCCCCACCTATAAAAATGCAACGTCATTATTTAATGTGAAACTTATGAAAATATTTCAACCCCCGATTTTAGTTTTTTTTTTTTTTTTTTTTTTATTATTTTCGTTAAGAAAAAATTTGAATATTTTCAAAAACTAAAAAACAAAATGGCGCGGATGCATTTTTCGTCATTTATTTCTATAAAAAAATTAAAATGAGGGGGGGGGGGCAAAGAGTGAAAAATTACGAGAATAAATTTCTGGGGGGAAAAAGTGACTCAATACTTTTCGAATTTTTTTCTTATTTTAAATTTACAAAACCTGTAGCGGAAAAAATATTTAAAAATTTTATACCGCGTTTTTCTTTCCCCCCCCCCTTTTCCCCTCCCTACTCCCCCCTTCAAAAAAAAAAAAAACTAAAAACGAAAAGAAATTCAAAAATAAAAACCGGTAAATTTTTTTTAATCCTTACAAATTACGTATAGGCAATTTTTTAACACGAAAGTATTTTTATTCGTAGTAACATAAGAAAAATTTCGAAGGCGAAATCTAATCGAATTTTACGACCGGAAACGGAAATGTTATGTATTTAATAGAAAGAAAATTTACATTTACCGAATCGAATTCAGTTATTTTTATCTTTGGAATATTCAAAATTATTAAAATTTCTACCGGTTTTAAAACGAAATTCTTAACGATTAAAAATTAAATTTGACATTCACGAGCAAATAATGATAAAAATATCGGTTGAAACCATGTTTTTATCATCATTATTATCATTAACAAGGTGAAATCTAATTAAACATTTTTTTTTTTTTTTTTTTTAAAATTCACGTCCGACAATAGAAAGACGATAATAAATTTTAGGACTCGAAAAAATTTAAATGAAAATCATTTAATAAAACATTAAAAACAACAACAAAAATACGATTGTGCAAATGTTTCGGCAAAAACAAAAAAGTTTTTTTTTTTTCTTTCGAATGTTAAAAAAAAACAAATTAAAAACGAATTTTGTCGTGTTTTTAATAAAACAATAAAAAGCAAACGTAACAAACGTAACAAACGAACAAACAAAAAAAAATCGATTTTTAATATAAAAAAAAAAAAACAAAAAAAAATGTGCTTTGTAGTTTTTCCATGTCGTGATTGTATAGTCATAAAAAATTTTATAAAAAAATGTCTTTTTACACGATAAATTACAAAATGTCATTTTTTTTTTTTTTTTTTTTACAAAATAAGAATTCAAATAAAGTAAATCAACGAAAATTTCTCTCTCTCTCTCTCTTTCTTTTTAACCTAAATATAAAAAAAATGAGATTGAATAAAAAAAAAATTCAAGTCGCCATTACAAATTTTTCATTCGCGAATCAAAAAAAAATTTTAATTAAAACAAAACATGTTTTCCTTTTTTTTTCCCACGACATTGAACCTTGATATTGTTAGTTTTTGAACTTGAGATCCAATCAAACCGTGCGAAAGAAACAAAAAAAAAAAAACTAAAAATCCACCATTTTATTCAATTGTTTTTTGTTTTCTCCATTTCAAAAAAAAAAAAGAACCTTCTAGAAACGAATTTAATTTTATCACGTCATGGTACGGTATAGTAAACCGTAACAAATATTTTTTTTAATTTACCCAAAACCCCCCACCATAACTTCCACCCCCTAAATTTCTTCCCCTTTTATTCAATCTTTTATTTATTTAGCTACATTTCAATCATATATATATATATTTTATTATTATCATTACTATTATTATTATTATTGATACTTTTTCTTTAAATAATGTTATGAATAATATTATTATTATTTTCCTACTTTAACTGAATTAAATATTATCAGTTATATTTATTAATCAATTTCTTTATTTCCCCAAATAATAAATTCATTATTGTTTGGTCCGCCATTTTGATTTTGACTAAAAAAACTGATTTATATGTAAAAAAAAAAAAAAATAACACTTGAAAAATAATCATTTGTGTATTAACATTTAGTGATGACTATTTGAATTAACCAATGATTATTATTATTATTATTTCTTTTGGTTTTGCTTTGGAAAATGTTTTTTCTAGAACAAAATAAGTTTGTAGTGTTTTTATAATTGTAATGATTGACTGTCTGTGCTAAAATGGCTGATTTTTAGGGCAATCATTTAAAATATTATAAGAATTGGTTGATGGTTAGGGAGTACATTAGTCATTGTGCCATTGTGATAAAATATTACAAAATTCTTTGCAATGGATGAAATTATTTATGAGAGGAGGATGTTAAATAGAATTTGAAAAGTAACAATGGATGCCTGCCATCCATAACAATAAATGTATACAAATGAAGCCAAAAAAAATTTTCTTTTGAATTTGACCAAATTCAAATACCTTGATTCATTTGTTAAATAAAATTTTACCATTGTTTCACGTGAGAATATTGTCAATTATAACAATTTTTGGGGGGGTAAATTGAAGAAATTATAAAGAAATTATTTCATCATTTACCTTTTAATATATGAAACGTTGGGGGCCCATTTTTTCTCTCCCAATATTTTTCCCTCCCATATGGCCCCCTGTTGATCCTTTAACCTTTTAACTCGTCGACATTTCTTTCGTTTTTCTTCTCCATTAACTCCTCGATTCCTCTTCTTAATTTCAATTATTAAAATTTGGTAAATTTAACCAAGCGTCTCTCTCACTCCTGCCTTCTTTTCAAAATGTATCACCTAAAAATTATTATTAATATCTAATTAGTTTTCTTAAATTAATAAATAAATATCGTGAATTTATAATAAAAACAAAACAAATTACTATTATAAAACAAACGATTAATAGTTTTTCACTTTATTTAATTTCTATAATTTGTCTAACGTTTATTATACCGGATTTAGCAGTGTAGTTGACATTTTGACACGTTCTAATTATAAACTGTAACGCGCGCGATCCATAGAGTAAATAAACGAATCGTAATATTTACCGCGCTTTTGTCACAATTAACGCTCTAATCTTGGTCACAATATGGATGCCGTCGTTGTGTTATTTCACACCTCGGGATAAAAAATCGTTCATAAGTAAGTTAAAATCCATTAATTAATAATAAATTATGCATAAAATCAATAAATGTTTGTTCTTTTTTGATAAAATGATAATAAATAACGACGAAAAGACAAATTAAAGTATAAAAATGAGTCGTGGGAAATCGATATACATTACTTTATATACATTTCATATGCATTCAATTTATATAAATTTATTAATTTAACTAAATCGTTAACTTTAACGTAATAAACGGTTAGAAATTAACAAATATATGTAAAAACGTTTATTAACCATTTACGTGAAGCATTTTAATGGTTTTTTATTAATTATTTACAACAAAAATAATTATTATTAACAATGATAGACATTACCTATACAAATGTATTACTTTTCCACAAATCCACAAACTTTTTTTTATCAATTTTTTTAAATTTATTCTGGTTATAGATGTTAATTGTAGTTGTAGTTGTAGTTAATTATTAAAAAAAGAAACCAATAAGTCACTTTTAACAAGATTTATAATCAAAAAAAAAAAAAAAAAAAATGTTATTAGTTGACACTTATACACATGCACAAAACGATGACAATTGTTAATTTTTTTTGTGGTTAATCACACAAAAACAAGACAATTTTTTTTCTCTTTTTTATTTGTTAAACGTTACAATAGTAGTGTTTAATAGTAGAACAGTTGCTGCTTACAATGAAAAAACCACAATTTTTATCATGAGTTATAAACTTTTCCCCTTCTCCAAACAATAACAATTTCACACTTGGATTCCTTGTACAAAATGGTGATTGTTTCTTTTTTCTTTTTGATTTTTTTTTCCCCGGAAAACAAAAGAAAACACAAAACAAAAAGACAATTATAAATTAAACACAAAAAAAAAAAAAAAAAAAAAATTTATTTTGTTAATAATTCAAACATTATTACTAACCATTCATATATATAATATTTAAACAAATTTTTTTACAATTTAATCCACCATCAATTATATAAAATCATAAGATAACTCTTTTAACAAAAAACGTTTTTTTCATATTATTATTATTATTATTAACTACAACTACTTTATTAATTAATTAATTAATTAAACTTTACAATTTTTTTCTATTAATAGTATTCCTCCTTTATTTATTTAAAAAATATTTTAAATATTATGTTTAATTTACATTTCTACTGTTATTATTATTATCATCATTAATAATAATTATTATTATTATGTTTGTTGCTGTTGTTGTTGTTGTAAATAATTATCAAATTAATGAAACTTTAAAAAAAAAAAAATTTGTAAAAATAAACACAAAATCACAAATAAAAAAAAAAAATGTAAAAAACGTACGAAATACCCCACGATAACTTTATATAATCGATATATCGTAATAACGATTAATCGTTTCTATCGATAAAATTTAATTTTAACGGTTTTTCCGGAAACGATATGAAATTTTCCGTTCCGACAATTTCACCAAAATGATATTCTATTTCAAAGTTTCTTATTATCTGAAATGAAAATAATACGTATACGTTAAAAAACAAACAAACATGTCGGCCTAGTGAGTAAAAGTGGGATTTTTAGTTTTTTTTAATGCCGCCGTCATTTTCTGCATCGAAAATCACAAAAGTCGTAAAAATTAGTTTTTGCGTTTTGTCACTGAACAACCGAGTTTTGTTTGCTCCATTAATTTTTTTTAGTTAGTTAGTTAGTTAATTAGTTAATTATTTAAAAGATCGATAGAAAATAACGGTTTTTTTTTTAACGGACATTTTTAATTGATAACGTGCCTTGGCAACGCATGCGCACAATTGCATTTCGATTATTCTTTTTATCAAATCCGATTTCGGACCGTGACAGAGAGGAAAAGATGAGAAAGCGTGTGCGTTTTGCATCCACTTATCATCGTTTAACCATCTTTCAGGTATGAATTTATCAGGTTCTTCGAAAAATTGCTCTCTCATACCGAAAACTCTTGAATCCATGACGACGTACGTCTGAAAATTATTTTTTAATCGTTAGTTAGCGAGAATTTCTCCGGCGAAAAAGAAAATAATTTTCGCATATGCCGACCCCTTTTGGTACGATGTAATTCGATATGAATATGTCGTTTTGTAAAAGTCTAAAAAATAACGGATACGGTGTGTTTAATCTCATGCTTTCCTTAATACACGCCTGCATGTATTTCATTGAATGTAATTTTTGTATGTTTAATTTCGTCGTTTTTTCCGGCAATATTTCCTTTCCCTCTTTCGATAATTTCTGTTGCGCTTTCACATTTTGTGCCAAATGATAGAGTAAAAATCCTAGAGCTGATGACGCCTGACAAAAAATTCAATAAAACATTATTATTATTATTATTATTTTCAGGTTTCGGAAAAGTGTAAAGAAAATGGGAAAATTACGACTCCGCTTCCTAAAATAAGGATGTCAATAAGATTGCACGTTATTTCTTCGGATGTCATTCCATCGAAGAGCAACATATTTTCAATTAAGGTAAGTTCGCTATTATTATTATTATTACTATTACTCGTCTGACCCCCGCTTTTTATCAAAACGTCATTTTTATGTTTTAAACTCATTTCCGCTTGATATAATTGTTTCGATAATATTCTAAAACAAAAAAAAAAAAAAAAGATGGAAAATGGTCACTTTTCATTTCTCCCACGCCGCGAGAAGGAAAATTCTTATCACGCCCACGTTGATAATGTACGATAAGCTTGTCCTAATCCGACCAAAGATGGCGTAACCATTATTCTCCAGGGTTGAAAACCTTTTTCGCATTTCGTTAAATAATTACTCGCTTCTTGTACGGCGTTAAATAATTTATCAGGTTCGTATAAAGTATTCGAATTCCAATTTTTCGATTCTGATAAGCTTAACGATTTCGTAAATAAAACTCGAGATAAACCTTAAAAAAAAAATTTTGTTAGGTTTTGTTGTGGTGGGAAGGGGGGAAATTTAAGGGGAGGCTCACCGTCCAGACTCCATCTTTTTATTTCTTCCATGAAATCATCCGAGACTGTATTTTGACCGTTTTTACAATGTTTTATAACGCTTATGAGAGAATCTCCAGCGAGATCGACAAATTCGAAAAATTTATCGTATTCTAATATCATTGAATCCGCTGTTAATTTTCTCAAATGATTCCATTCTGGAGTATTCCTGGAATACAAAAAAAAAAAAAACCGTTAAACGAACAAATAATGTAGGTGGGGGGTGGAAATGATGGGGAAAACAAAATATTAACCAATCAGTGGGTAGAGCGATGCTTATTTTTTCTTCTGCTTCTTGTCTGCTTAATTCCAATGAATCCAAAACTGATCTTATGAACGGAAGTGAATCCTGTTCGAAAACAGCTGATAAATGTTCAGGTTTATGAAGTAGTATTATGTTTCCGCTCAGGGGTCCCTGAAGGTTTACTATAGGTCCGTATTTATTGAAAAGTTTATTCAGGGATTGTTTTTTTTTTTTTTTACACATTTCATCAGAAGAAAAAATGGCGGAACTCAAACTCACTGAAATTTTAATATTTTCGCGTACAATTATTACATTTATAATAATAATAATAGTGGTAGTAATAAGGGAAAATCGTACCTAATTGAAAAGATCTAAAGAGTGTGAATATGGTCAATTGAGAACCGATTACCGGAAACCATTTCCACGCGCTTGATATTTTCTTTAATATTTCCGGTCCAGGTATTTCATCTGTTAAATCGCTGAAAATTTTAGGTACCGTATGATCTTTTGTTAAAAAACTAGGTGCCAAAGTGTTCATGTTTACTTCGGATTTAAGTTCGTTGTAACATATTTGTTGTCCCTCGTTTTGTGACGGTTTCAAAGAAGATGATGATGATGATGATGATACCGATGGGAGCGTTGTTTTTTTTTCCGTTGACGTTTTCCCGTTGTCATCGACGACGATTTCGGATGATTGTCCCGATTGTACGGGTAGCGACACTCCCCTAACGTTTTTCCCCGACGATTTCGTTTTTATTTTTCCCTTTGCTCCTTCGATTATTTTATAATTTTTATCCGAATCCAAACCGATGTTGACGGAGGATCGTACTTTGATTAAAAAATTTTCCGGATTTTTCTCTTGTTTTTTCCTTATGTTATCATACGGATTATCTTTGTTCGTCGCGTTTCCCGTCACCCCTTTGCTTTTTATTTGAGTTTGTTTTTTTTTCGGTTTGCTATCCGCGGCTTCTTGTAACACTTTGAGTAATAACGTCGCCATTTTATCCGTTTCGTCTTTCAACCACGTTTCGATGCTTTCCGACGGTTTCGTGACATCTTGCAAAACCAACGTTTTATTCCAATTATTTAACTTTTTCAAATTCGGATTGTTTTCCGTATCCGAATAGATTTTCAGGGATTTTTCTTCGTAATCCGGATCGCTGAAGGGCGTTTTATATTTTTCAAATTTTTTATAAAATTTCCTATTTTCGTGTGCGTCTTTGATTTTTTTCTCCGATTCTTTAACCGTTTTTTTATTAGACTCGACATTTTTTTTTGATTTTTTCTCCGACGCGTCTTTTTTTTTCCCATTCAAATTTTCCCCGAATTTTTTATTCAAATTTATTTCTATGATTTTCGATGGCGTTCTCTTATCCGTCGTTATATTCAATTTAACCGTTTCCCCTTTATTATTTTTCACTTTCGAATTGAATTCCTTCAAATTATTTTTTGACATTTCAAGTATATTTTCCGATATGTAATGTTCGGATGATTTTTTCGTCACATTTTTACTCGTTTGATTTTCTAACCCTTGTTTATCATTATTATTATTATTATTATTATTAACGGAATTGTATATTTTTAATGGTGAATTATCTTGATTAGGAGTTTTTATCGTTTGACATAATTTTGAATTTTCCGAATTTGTTTGCGGTGGATCGACCGATGGGGGTAGTTCAGACGCTTTCGATTGATTATTTTCAGCAGATGTTGATTCTTTTACCGTTGACGTCACGCTCTGATCGGAGCAAAAAGCCTTAGGCGAATCGGAGCTGGGTGACGTTTTCACCCCTGTTGTACTTTGGGAAATTTTAGGGGAATCCGAATTTTTTTCCGGATTTAATGATTTGGGAGGGGTTGGAGTTGTTGGAAGAGTTTTATCAGGAGGGTTTTTCGGATTTGGAGTAGTTGATGGTGGTGGTTGAGGCGAGGTAGGCGGCGTGGTAGAACTTGGCGGAGTTTTATCTAAAGGATTTTTTGGTTTTTGAATGATTGGTGGTGGTGAAGGTGGAGGCTTTGCCGGTGGTTGAGGCGTGGACGAAGTCGAAGGAGTTTTATCTAAAGGATTATTTGGATTTTGAATAATCGGGGGTGACGGTGGTGGTGGGGTTGGAGGCTTTTCTTGTGTACTCGGTGTAGTTTTCGGTTTAAAACGATCTGTTATGATTGAAAATTTTGAAACTTTTTCCGGTACTGGATTTGATGGCTTTGGAAGATTGGGCGGAGAAGGAGGAGGAGGAGGAAGAGGATTAACGTTAGGATTTGGAGTCGTCTCTGGTTTATTCGAGACCTGTGGAGTTTTTTCTTTTTCTAAAGGATTCGACAATGGAGGAGATTTAATTTTAGAATCTTCAGTTTTTGGAATAATTTTTTCCGGTGCTATATTGGATGGATTTGGAAGGATCGAAGATGGAGGGATTTTCGTTTCTGGAGCTTTCTGCGAAGGAGGAGTGCTTTCATTTTTTTCCGTAGATTTAGGAGGAGTCGGTGGGATTTTGACATTTTTTTCCGAATTTTCTTGTTCCGTGCTTTTGTTTTTCGGATTCGATTTAGGTTTGGGTTTTCCAATCCACGATGAAACAGGAATCGATGGGATTTTAATTTTATAATTCGTGGATTGAGGTGTTTTATTAGTGGTAGCCGGTTTGGGCGGATCGGTTTTATCTTTCGGGATCGACATGGGAGGTGGTACTTTGGGTTGAGGAATTATCGGATTTTCGATTTTCGGTAAGGAAAATGGTATTCTTTTCCTCGGGAGTTCTTTCTTTCCCTGTTCGTTGTTGGCGGGAGGAGGAATTGATGGTTTTTTATTCGTAATAGGTTTATCATATGGAAGAATAGTTCTTCTTAAAAACGATCCCCAATACCCGTCATCTTCCATCACGTTTCCCTCGTTTTTTTTTTTCTTTCCATCTTCTTTCAATGGTGTTTGCGGGTCTTTCGGAGGCGTTTTCCCGGAATCACTTTTATCACCGGCAGCATATTTGGTAACACCCGAATTAATATTTTTGTCTGGCGGTTCGTTAATCACTTTCGACGGATTCAAACCGGGTGCATCCTTTCTAATTGTATCGGATTTGGCATCTTTTTTATTAACGACAAACAAATTATTATACATATCCGAATTTTTTTTACGTATTTCCTCGGCATCGGATTCTTTAAAAAACGGTTTCGTTTTCGACGTTTTCTCTTGCGACGGTTCGTAATTTTTCCATTTTTCCGATGCATAATCGAAAATTTTTTTCTCGCGAGAATTCGGCCTGGGTATCTTCGGAATGGTTTCCTTTTCAATTTTTTCAATTGTTTCCAATATCAATTCGCTCCTTTTATTCAATTCCTCTTCCTCTCTCAATTGCTCTTCTCTTTTTTCCAATATCGTATAATCAACTTTCCAACTTTGCGTCAATTCGTCGTAAACCAATATGGAATCCCCACTTCTCATTTCCAAAACGTTCGTTATCGGTTTTTTAACAGAATTAATAATCGTATCGATCGCATCAGTTTTTGCGGATATATTAATGGATGAAATGTCGGGATTCATAAATTCATAATTTTCAATATTTTTATAATTTGATTTATTTAATTCTTTAAAATCCACATCGAACGTTTCGTTCGTTTCGTTGAAAACAACGGCGGAATCCGCCGTCGTGTTGTTCAGTATTGACGTCGATATAACAATATTTTTTCCCGGTAGTAATTTTTCTATCGGATCATCATCATTATCTATTTTTAACGGTTTTTTAGTATTATTATTATTATTATTATTATTTATGGACTCGAACATGGGGGTTCCTTCGCGATTAAACTGCGTGGTGTTAGATTTTAAAACATCTTCGATCATTTTAGCTTTTTGTACGGCCATACATTTTTCTAATTCTTCTTTATCGATTTCCCAATTTTCTTCGTTTTTGAGTTGGAGGACGGAGGTTGTCGTCGTCGTCGTTGTTGTTGTCGCGTCTTTGTTTCTGCCTTCAAAGATTTTAATAGCGTTATTCAAATCAAAATTAACAATTTCTTTCACTTTTTTCATCACGGTTAAACTATCGACGAACGTTTCGCTTTTCCTTTCTATCAAATTATTTCTACAACGCACTTTAACAATTTTCCCCGAATTTTCCTCTATTTGTCCCTCATCATCATCATCATCATCATTATTATTATCATTATTATTATTATCGACAACGGCAGTTTTTTTCGACGCGTTTTTTTTTTTTTTTTTTTTTTTTTTTTCCTCATCGCACGATGAATTTAACAATGGCGAAATGAAACAATTATGAAACAATTTTTCCTTTCTCGGAAAGAAAATTAAATTTTCGTTAAATTTATCATATTGTTTTATCGTCGTCGGACTACTACCACCGGATTCGTTATCATTATTATTATTATTATTATTATTATTATTATCATCTAATTTAGAATTTATTAGAATCGAATTTTTTTTTTTTGTTCTCACGCCTAACCCTCTACCACGACCCACCGTGACAGCATTTAAAGTCGGAGGGTGAGCGACGGAATACCCGATTGGATAACACGATGAAGACCGAGGTCGTTCCGATGGTGGTGGTGGTGGTGGTGATGATGATAATGATGATATTTTAACTACGTTTCCCGCCGTATGAAATTCTACCCGTTCAGAAGAATTATCTTTACATATTTGCTTACCCGAATTTACATTTTGCGAGTCGGAAAATTTCACGTTTTTCTTTGTTTTATCACTAATATTATTATTATTATTATTATTATTATTATTAGTTTTATTATACGTCATTGTATTATTTCGTTTACGATCGACGTCATCAATACCATCCTCATCTTTTTTTTCATACGTTTTCGCTTTTAATTTATTTTGCACGACGTCTTGATTTTTATCCATTACGCTACCATAATCATTTTCCTCATCTTTTCCTTCCTCTGTCCCGTCCCATTTTTTAATTTTTTTTTTCTTAATATTATTATTATTATTATTGGTGTAGTTTTTATTATAATAATAATTACTAAATTGATTATTATTATTATTATTATTATTATTAGTATGAGTTCCGTCGTAGTTTTGCACGTAGTTTTCATAAGTTTTACATCCTCCTTTAACTTTTTTTCTTAACTGAAACAAAAAAAATTTTTTTTTTTTAGGATGGCACGCCTGATTTTTGTTGCCAACATTAAAAAAAAAAAAATGTATTTATTACCTTTCCTTTGAGATTTTTATTTAATAAATTTTCATCGGATTTAAAATAATTTTCATCTTGAGGAAACGAACCTTCGGATATTTCTGGTTGTTGTTGTTGTTGTTGTTGTTGCTGATATTCGCCATCTTTATTTTTATTTTCGTTTGTCGAATGATGATGATGATGATGATGATAATTAAATAAATCTTTTTGATTATTCGTTTCCGTTTCGTCATCGAAATCCGAATGATAATAATAATTTTTTTTATGTGATGAAAAATTTTTATTTTTATAATTTTGTTCGACTCTATTATATTTTTTCTTCGTCCACGATGGCGATTTCCCTTTTAATTTTCTCAAATCTTTTTTTTCATTATATAAACGATGTTGAATTTTATCCTGCGTGTATTTAACCTCTTCCAAAGGTTCATCTATCGTCCTTATTTCAACTTCTAAAGGTTCAGCCGTTGACGTTGCGGATAATGCAGGTACGCTTTTCGATTTATAAGGTATTTCTTCTTCGACTACTTCATTCCCCAGTCCAGGTTCTTTAACGGATTGTTCAGAATAGATTTTATCATGTGAATTTTTTTTATTTATTTTCAAATGAAATACGTAGGTTGAAGGTTCGTCGATTTCGTGAACCTGAAATTTAACATTTGGATTCGATCGTACGTCATCCATTTTATTCGTTAAACAAATTAAACTTTTACTCTTATTATCATTATCATTATTATTAATTTTTTTCATAATTTTATTTTTTTTTTCATCATTTTCCAAATCTGTCGTTGTTACTACGTTTTGAACCATTTGTTCAGACGTGGGATTAGATTGTTGTTGTTGTTGTTGTTGTTCACCGTAAGGTAAATCTATAATTATATATAAACCCGTTGTTGTGGCGTTGGTGGTATTATCGTCATTTTGTTCTCTATCGTTTGATGATGATAATGATGATTTTTTACCCGTTTCATATTGATCATTATTATTATTATTATTATTATTATTGTTTGACGGTGACGGTGGCGATGACGGTGACGATGACGGTGACGTATTCAATTCCGTTATATTTTTTTTATCATATAATTTTCCATCGAAACAATTGGTGGTTAATAAATTATGTACGGGATCGTGTACATTTCCTTTATAAATGTCATTAAAATCCTTACACGGGACATTTTGAAAATTTTGAATGAAAATTTTTTTATTTTTTTCATCCGTTATATCTCCTTTATAATAATTAGTTAAATACGTATCGCTTTCGGATTTTTCCAAATTTTTATTATTATTATTATTATTATTATTATTATTATTGTTACCGTTGAAATTTTTCGTATAATTTGTTGTTGTATTGTTTTGACACGTTAAAAGATTTTTCGTTTTAGATTCTGTTAAATTATTATTATTATTATTATTTAATTCCCCTTTTGTTTCGTACGAAATGAATGTTTGTTGTTGTTGTTGTTGTTGTTGTTGCTGTTCTTGTTTTATCACATCTTCCATTGGTATGTTAAGTCTAAGCGGAGGTTTATTAGGATCATCTTTCGGGGATTTAACGTAAACGTTTTTCGTTGTTGTCGTACATTTAAAACGATCTAAAAAATAAGATGATGGAGATATGCATTGTGCACTCCTTAAAACATACCTAGAATTCTTGGAGATATGCATTGGATTGTGAGATTATTATTCTCACCTTCCCCTCCCCCCCCAGAGTAGAGAAAAAAAAAAAAAAAAGAAAAAAAAAACAGAAAATAATAATAATAATTAGTAAAATTTGACAAATATTTAACCACAAAAATTTTTACATCAATCCATAACTTTATCGAAACAAAACAAAACAAAACAAAACAAAAAAAAAAAAAAAGTTTGCCTTTTGTTTATTCGTCCCCGAAAAAATAATAAAAAAAAAAAATTTTGGGTTGGTAGTATTGATTGTCTCCCCTTCTTGTTTTTACATATCGTCTGCTTTTTTAAATCCCCACCCCCCACCCCCGCCACCACTTCTAATTCATAATAATTAAAATTCCAAAATTTTTTTTCCCCCCACAAATTACCGCCCCCCTTATTAACCCCCCTCCCCTCCCCCCAAAAAAAAGAAAACCCTTCTTTTAATAATTTTATTTATTTATTTTCTTATAATATACAAAAGAAAAACTTTGTTTGTTTAACCTTTAATGAAAATTTCCTAGAATTCTTGATAATTTCATTATGGCCGACGGCGGTAGATTACGATTTACCAATTCCATTATTATCTTTTCCGTACCTGTACGTAAATCGAAAATCAATCAATCAATCATTCAATCAATCAATCAATCGTTAATCTCCCATCACTTGCACTCACCTTCTTCGTTCAAACATTTATTTAAGTCCTTCAACCTGGGAATGTCGTGAAACGTTAGATAAGCCGTTAATTTATCCTGATTTTTACTCTTCGGATCCAAATCCGAATCTTTGAGATAATCCTTGAGCAAATCGAATATTTCTGGAAAAAACAGAATTTTTACTGTTTCTCTGACGGAGCGCAAAATTAGACACGAGTCCAAGTAATATACCTACCGGATTCCCACGATTCGAATAATTTTTGACAAAATTGTTTTGCTGGCAGTACGATATCGGGGGGAATCAATGAACTCGAACTGTTGCTTCCCGAATGACGTAACGCTTGAGTCCACATTAATTTCAATTGCCAAACGTCCAGCGACGACGCGTTCGTGAATATATTTTGTCCCGCCTAGCAAAAAAAAACAAATTAAATCGTTTCCTTTCTTGCGGTTGCTTGAACGGTAGCAAAAATTATTTTTTCCACTCACTTTGAGCAAAGATACCCAAATGGGTAAAAGTGATAGCTTATCTTTCGTCAAACAATAGTATGCTATGTACGTGAGCCAAACTATCATTTTACTTTCCACGTTTTCCTTGTTGTTTTCGTTTTCCCTCCCCTCTAAAAAATACTGCGTGAAATTGACCAATATAGGATCGGATGAAAACCCAAAAATTGTTTCCACCTGAAAAAAAAAAAAAAAAACTTTGTATTCTCTCTCTCTCTCTCTTTCTCTCCCTCTCGCTCTCTCTCCCTTACTCTTATCGTCCACGGTATGACGTCATCGCTCGTCAACGTCTGTGCCAAAAGACTTCGAAAACCTTGAGGATCTTCCAAGTAAGACAAACAACCTGCTTTTTGTTTCACGTCGACGAAACTACATTCGGACAATATGTTGATGAAATCATCCCAATTTTTATCCCGGTTGAAAACTATCGACCAATACCTGCCGTCGTCTATTCGTACCTTTAAGGGAGGAGGGGGGGAAAAAAACGTTAAATTAAAAATTTTCCAAGAATGTTTCGACTGTCGTTCGTTCAAGATGTTATAATTCATAAACTTACTTCTTTGAGAGTGCTCAGTTCGGGTAGCAGACAAGGTGCTCGTAGTTTAATAACGTTACCCTTGTAAAAAGGAACGTCGAGGAAAACGCAAGTTATGTGAGCGTAACAAAGCGTTCTCGTATCGATATCCCGCGGCAAGAGGAGCCTGGATTCGATCGCCAGTACGTACAAATGTCGAAAAGCTTGAAGGTGATACCTGAAAAGTAAAAAATTTTCATCATCGGTCATCTGTAATGCAATACCCGTCGCAAGAAATTCGCATCGTCGTTTACCGATTATCGTTGCTGTGAATGGGCCACTTGGGATAAAAAGCGCACAAGAGTGCGGCTATGGCATCCGGTGAAGTCGATAGAGTGTACGCACCTCCGCCGAGAAACAAGAGGCCAATGGCCATGTGGGTGGCTAAATGAGAACCGTAAGTCACGACCGTGTTTGTAGGACCGACTCTTGAACGCAAATATCGGCACAATCTCAACACCTCGATGTCTCCCGTTCCGGCCATCACCTTGGAAAATTTATAAAATAATAATAATAATAATAATAAGGAAAAACCGGGAAAACTTTTTCTGGAAAATTCAAGCGTGAGATACCATTGCCAAGGACAGAGTGATAACGTTGAGACATGTTTCGATCGTCGACCTTCCGCAGAGTTCGCCAATGTTTTTACCCAGTAGAGAAGTAAACATTTTCGCATACGACAACAATACTTCGAATGCTTCGTCGTAAGCAGATCCGGCAAATCTTAATCCTATGGCCATGCAAGCGCCGGCAACTATGTTACAGTAGGCTTGACTATAAAAGAAAATTTGATTACTTCCGGAAAAAGGAAAAAACGACACGGATAAAAACCTTAAATGACTTTTACTAACTCCATAGTTTCGTAATCGATGCATTTGTCGGAGTTGGGTTCGGGTTTGACTAGAACGTAGGGGCGAATAAATTCAGGTACGTGACTCATGACCCAATTTTCGGTAGGTTCGATTTCGTTCCACATGATGAGACCCTTGGCCAAAGTTCTCAGTAGAAGAGCATCCGGTAAAACTGCTTCCAAAAGATGTTGCGTCTCGGGAGCTTTGAGCCATTCGGCCACGGCTCTGGAAAAAAAAAAAAAAAGGGGGCGGAGTTTGTTTTGAAATATCTTTTTCCCCTCCCCCTCGATCCCTCCCTCCCCTCCCCTTTTTAATTTAAATAAATACTTTAAAATATTCTGCTTACTTATTACCGGTATTAAAATACAACATTCCCAATGCCAAAACGGCACCCGGACCGGTCACGTGAGTGTTCACTAAATCTCCTTCCCATATTAAAAAACTCGGAGTTTTATATTTTTCCCTTTGAGAACCTAAATACGGTCTTTTCGGACCGCCCACCATGTAATGATGAAGAGTGTCAGCGATGGCCATATCTCCTAAACCTGAAAAATAACAAAAATTCGTTGGTCTAATTTTAAAATCCCCCCCCCCACCACCTCCCCCAGAAAAGAAAAAAAAATTAACCTGATAGTTTAGCTCCTCTTCCGAAAACGACCAATCCCAGTGCTAAACCTGCGGCTAACGAATAACTTTCTCTATCTACGCTGTTTGCCATTTCCGGTCCAGGAGGTCTTCCTGTAAATCCGATAATTAATTTAATTCTGATTCTACTACCCCCGAATCCCCGGGAAAAATTCGACTCACCGATTTCTTGCAAAAGAACTTGAGCTATGTGTCTATGAGCCGTGCCTTGATATAAAAATCCAAGTGAAACCAATGCTGCGGGTTCGACGACGACGTCGACGTCGATTTCGATACCCGTCGGAGGTAACATGGCTTCTATGTGAAGGCTTACGATTCTCACCATGTAAGGATCCATTGTGCCTGAAAGAGAGAGAGAGAGAGAGAGAGAGATAGGGAATGAATGGTTTCGTTCTTGAGCGATTCGATTTGAAATTTTCTTTTCTGTTGGAAATACCTCTTTTCGATGCTGCTATGCCCAACAGCAATCCGACGCTGGTCATTTCGTGGAATTTAATCAAATAATGAAAAATACTCGTGTCTTGAAGATTGCTCAAGTGACCGTTAAATCCCAACGCCATTAAAAACCCCGCGTGTTCAATTAATTCTTCGTTGTTCGTCTTTGGCTTGTTGTAAATAATCCACTGGGAATCTATATCGGAAGCGTTCGGTGAAATTTTCAAACCCGCTGCCACGCCGTTATGAAACAAAGGCCAAACGTTCATGTTCGAAGACACTTCTATGTGTGACATGTCGACGACTTTTCCCGTGGGCGGAACTCTTCCGGTCAAACACAGAGGCGGTATGGGTAGTTTTTCCGTTATGACGGGAGTCGAACTCCTCACCGTCATCATTCCCCTCCCGACGGGAAGCGCCATCGTTCTCAGGCATATTGCGTACAAATGCTTTTCCTGTTCTTGCATGAATTCGTGATCGTTGACGTCGGGCCTTTGCTGTATCGAAATTTTAACGGGTTGAGCCGATTGCAACATTCTCCTCGCTTCTAAAACTCTCTGATCCGTGCTGAACCTTAACTTGAGAACGTCCATGTTGGACAAATCTTCCATTCCGTCTTCTTCTAAATCCATGCTCACTCGTATCGTGCTGTTACTTTTAGAATTCGAAGAGGAAGAAGGCATGATCAATTCATTGGTGGGTCCTTCGAAACGAAGAAAAAAAATGATAATGATAATAATAGCTATCAGCATTCCATTAAATTACAAAACCCGTCGTTTTCTCACCGACTTCTTCCTTGCAATTTTGACGACAAAAAGAAGCCAAATCGTGTCTCATGGCTAATTTATAAGCTTCCTTTGACCAACCGAAACCGGGATTATCTCTGCAACTGTACAAAGCTTCGAAAAGGATTAGTGAAACGCCCGGAGGAAGGGATTGCATGCTATCTTGAGTTATTCCTGCGAAGAAAAAATCCTCATTAATATCCCCTTAAATTTCCCCTCCCCTTCCCTTCCCTCTCCCTCTCCCTTACCCATTTGCACCATGAGTTGCATGACTCTATGCGGAATGGGTCTGTGACTCCGAGACCTGGGAGATTTCCCTTTGTCCAACGGTTTTTCGGATTTGCCAAAATTTATAAAATTAATTAGGGAATCCATCGAAATCCCGGGATTTTCGTAGCCGTAAGACAACAATCCGATAATCTAAAAAAAAAAAAAAAAAAAAGAGACGATTTAGTATTTCATTTTAAAATTTTCACCAATCAAAAATAAGGATTAAATTCGTGTACCTGAATCAAATCCCTCGTCCGATTATTTATTTTGAAAATGTACGGGAAAGGATCCACTTTTTTCTTTTGCAACATGTTGTACAAATGAAGGTATATGTTGGGGGGAGTTTTCGCGAACGAAGGCGGATAATTGGCGATTTCAAAAAGGGGTTTTCCCATAAGGTTAGACTGACTGAACGAACACTTGTTCGGAAAATCCATCCAGTAATGGTGAACGTATTCGGAAAGTTTCAAATCGGACGCGACGTGATGTAGAATTTTAACCAAATCCGCGAGAAATCTTTTCTTCAAATGATTCAATTTCATGTCTTCGTAGAGCAAATGTAGGGAAAACAAAACGAAATAGGAAAATGAATAGAGCGGACTTTTCTTATTCACGTAAATGGAATCTTCGCATTGAGAAGTTTCTACGGATTGTACTGGAGAACTTTCCGCTAGCGAAAAACAAACAAACAAAAACGTTTTTTTTTCTACACTCTCAAGAAATGGATTCCCCCCCCCCCTTTTTTTTTTTTTTTGTTCACATACCTTGATCTAAACACATTTTAAATTTGTGTGCCGTTAATTTAGCTTTACTAAACGACGGTTTCGGTTGCATGGGAGTTTCATCTATGGATTCCAAACTACTTTTATCCTGATACCTCACGAATGACGATTTCAATTTTTTCCCACAACCGTACTGTCTAGTTTTTTCGATGGGTGTCCTACTCGCGTCGAAAAAATCACATCTCCCATCCGGGTTATTATTATTATTACTCCGATTTGAAATCGATGGAGTTTCCGTGATGCTGCAAGAATTTTCCATATCCGTTTGCATTTCCGTTTCCGCATTCGATTGTCCCATTCTTAGCATACTTAAAGTTTGATCGTAACACAATTCGTGGTGTTTGGATTCGATTAAATAATTCCAATCTTCGTCTCCGCTTTTTTCACATTTTTTTAGCTTTTTCGCTCTTACGACCGGACTCTTTTCAACATCCGATTTTGTTCCTTTGAGAAATTCCACGTCGTATCCCATCAAATCTGTCGAAAATTTAAAAAAAAGGACAATAATTTTCCTATTTTTCCCGTGAGACGCTCAAGGTTGAATTTTTAAATATGTACCGAATAAGACGTCGGAAAACATGGACCATTCTTCTTCCATGTCGACATTTTGACAACCGGGTACGTTTCTCGTGCAATACCATTTGACGGATAATTTAATAAAAACATCGTTGGGTAAAACTTGTCGGAGAGCGTTAAGGCAACTTTTTATCATTGGAGAATTTCCAAAATTTGGAAGTTCCAATCTAAAAATAATTCCAGTGCTGAATTCCTAAAATCAGACACACACACACACACAAATGTTTACAAACGGTGGGGAAATTTTTTCAACAAGTCACAAAAATCCACAAAACTTACGAGGGAAATTCTACTGGCAACACTGTCTCTTAAAGCTATTAAAGTTCCTTCGTGGGGTGAACAAATAATACTGGAGCTTTTAACGGACAAATTAGGAGTTATTTTATCGTAGCAACTACTGTCCAATGTCGTCACGGGAGATAATTGTGATAAACTATCGTTGAAAACTGGAGAACTGTGCGATTGATTATGTATCGATTGCGGAAGCAAACTGCTCCTCCTTCAGAAAAAAAAAAAAAAAGAAAAAAATTCAGTACGATTTCGATGAACGTCATATTGAAAATATAAGAATTTTCTCACGGACTTTGGAAAAGCATTCAAAGAAGTATTTTTAAAAAATGTCGGCCCTGCATTCGAATCGGATAAATATGATGATGTCGCCACACAACTGGGCACGCCCGATATAAGGATTTTGGCAACGTGAACGGTTCCGGAATACAATTCGACACCTCCGTCCAATCCGATAATGGCGATCATATTGAGCGACTGAAATGAAAAAAGTTCTCTTTCAGTTTCGGTTAGAAATTAATGACGTCATCGACAACAACGTTAATTACTTTTAATTCGCAACCATCTTTCGCGCTTATGAAAGTTTTCTCGGAAAAAACCACGCTGCTGTTGTCGTTTTTATTTTTTTTCAATTTTAACAAATGGAGAAGATTTTTCGCTTTGATTAAATAACACAAAAACGATTGACCGCAAAGATCTTTTGTCAGGAATGCTTTGCTAGCCTTTGTTGCAGCAACATCTGAAAACACAAACTCGATGAATTCAAATCCGAGTTAAATCAACATCGAGTACGAGAGTATTGAATTTTACCAGCGTTTCCAGAATTTTCCGTCCACAAATGTTGCAGACAGACTTGCGGATACAACGGTTTGGGTTCGGCATATTCTATATCTTCCGTCATCATTCTACTTTCTATCCGACTCGGAGTTTCGCTAAACGGACTATTTATCGACGAATCGTTTCTTTTTGGTGAGGGGGTGTAAAAATTATGAGTGAAAGCGGGAGACAAAACGTTTTTAGATGATATCGGAGAACTGTGACGTGCTCTTTCGAAAGGGGTGAACGGACTGTTGACAACGTTTGGAAACATGTTATGACTCAAACCTAAACTTTTCCTAGTCCTGTAAAATTCAATTAAATTACACAAACCGATTATGTGTGTGTGTGTGTGCGTGTGCGTAAGATTTCCCAAAAACTTACTTGGCACTTAAAAACGCAGGTAAAGAATGATTTCCAGGACCTGCTTGTAAATTAAAACTGCTACTCGCACTATTTGGAAAACCGGGTTTACCAGTCGCATTGAACGATTGATGAGTTCTCGATGTTCTGCTCAAAACAGATTCTCTTTGCAAACAAATTTCTGATTCTTGAGGTTGAGCCTTTCTCACCAAATAAACAGTATGAAGTTTTGTTTTCTTATTGTATACCATACAAAGTGATGGTGATTCGCTTGTGAATATGATGACAATCTCAGGATTCGAAACATAAGAGAGACTATCTAAAAAAAAACATTTGAAAATTTAGTTTGAAATCGAATTGAAATAAGAATTATGAATGCATACCTTCTTTCACGACAACGGGACAAATTTCATCTAGTGGATGAGACAAACTAAAAATCGTGGGTAAATTGTTTGAATTTTGTTCTAGAGCAAAAGTTCCAATGAACGATGAAGAATTGAAAGGCGATGAATTATCTTCCGGATTGGTGGGAGGTGGTAAATTTAGATACTGTGTCGATCCGAATGTTGTACAATCGTTAAAATCCATCAAATTTTTCTGTTTGAAATACATTGATGGCTCCATTGATGATTTTCTAACACCGAAAGAATTATTCTTAAAAGACATGTAAGATTGTGGAGAATGAGTTGGCAATTCCGTTCCCAAATCGATTGCATCGACAATTTCTTCCCCAGAGTCTTTCCTTTCGACTTCTCTCTCGAACAACAATCCAAATTTTATTTTCCATATTTTTAATACTTTAAACTGTAATGCTGTTAAATATTCTTTCCCAGATTTTGTATAAAATTTAATACTATCAGCATCCATTACACAGATGCAATTCTTCAAGTCTTCATTACAATTATTTTTAAGATTAATATCAATCTGTTTAGGATTTTCAGATCCTTTTATAGATGATGTAATTATGTCTGGTTTCGATAAGTGAAAATTACACCAAAGTGCTTGTTTAACGAGTGTTTCGCTTGTGTAACAACATTTTAATATTCTATTTGTTCTATTTTCAGTTAATGCAGGACCTATTGACCTGTAATATTAGTTTTAATGTTATCATTTTATGAATATATATTGTTTTGAATTGATGAAATTTTGTTTTTTTTTTATTACCAAACAACTGTTTTCCCAGAATAAAACAATTCTTCTTCGCATTCTGTCGTTTCGTTTGTAGCTTCTCTCAACAACCATGATTCGGATTTCTTTGAAGTTTCACTTATAGATACTTGACTTAAACGATTAGACAATGCATTTTCTGACTGATACTGATGTTGTTGAATTCCAATCTGGATAGCCCCAGGATGTTCTAAAATTTGCTGCCTCCCAAAAGGGATGAACTCCTAAGAAGTTACAAAGGAAAATTTCATTTGACAAAACGTTAAACGTGAATATTTTAAAAAAATGATTACGTCATATATTTCGGCTTAATTACATTCGACATAAAAAGTTTTAACGGATTTTATTTTTAAAAAAAAATTTCTAATATAACCTAAATTGTTTACCTGGGGTTCGGAGGCGGCAATCATTATATCCTCTGAGACATCCAGATTTGCAATATCCTAATTTCGTGAAAATTTTCTTACTGTAAATTCATTAAATTATTATCGGATAATATTATTATTAATACATAAAATTGACATGAGTCGTCAATTCAAACTAAAAACAAACAAACAAAACGAAAAAATAGGTAAAAATTCTTAACGAAAAAATAAAAAAAAAAAAAAAAAAAAAAAAACGTTTTTTTTTCCTACGAAGTGGAACTAGAATTTATCGTATGTCGACTTCCTCCACTACGTCTTCTTCTTTTCTACCTCTATGGTGTCTAACAGGAAGTTGTTATTGAATAGAATTAAAATTTTTTTACATTAATTTCTATTTTAATTAAGTTTAAATAGAAAAAAAAAAAATGGTTTGTTTTATTATTAATTTTTTTATTCGTAAACTTTTTAACATTTACTTGATTAAAACTAAATTTGTTTTATTATTATTATTACGTTTATACTCACCATCTTAATTATTAGTAAAACGTGGTACTCTAATATATTTAACCTTTTAGGCAAAAAGAACGAAGAAGGTGGGAATTACTGGTAAATATGGTACTCGTTACGGTGCATCTTTACGTAAAACCGTTAAAAAAATGGAAATTACACAACATGCAAAATATACGTGTACTTTTTGCGGAAAGGTAATTAATTGTCATTATTATTAACGACATACTCTCTTTAAAACTTGAATATTTCCCATATTATCATCTTTTTACACTCTTATAGGAATCCATGAAAAGAACTTGCGTCGGTATATGGTCTTGCAAAAGGTGTAAAAGAACCGTTGCTGGTGGTGCTTGGGTATATAGTACCACAGCTGCAGCATCAGTAAGATCGGCTATAAGACGTTTGAGAGACGTTAAAGAACAATAAATAATTTCTTTTTTTAATAAATAATAATAATAATAATTTTATTTTTCTTTTTCTTTTTTTGTTCATTTACATATTTCCTTAATATCACATTTACAATAATTTATTTTTTATAAATTTTTTTTTACTCGTCACCACACATACACATCTACAATTATTTATTATTATTATTAAATATTATACAAATTAATTGATAATACTGATTTTTGATGAATTTAATTTATTTAATGGAAATTTATTTAACTAATAATTTGTTTATTTTTTTAAATTTAATAACGATTGGCAAAAATGAAACAATCTTGAATTTACACTCACACACACACTTTAAAAAACTTTCATTATATATAAATTTTTTTATTTGTACCAACAAACAAACAAACATACTTTTAATAATCGATAAATCTAATTGTTATACCATGTTCATAGAAAAAAATTCTTCACTTTCGACTAAATAATAATAATAATAATAAGAAAATATTCATTTTAAAAACAGTTTATCGAAACTAAATCATATTGTAAAGGTACAAAACGTAATATACACAAATTATAAGAAAACCGTTAGAAAATTAACAATAATAAATGCAAAATAATAATAATAATAAATTGATGACATTTAATTACTCGATTAAAGAACATGGCTACATTTACAATATGATTATTAATAAAAAAAAAAACAATACAGAAAAATATGTAAAGGTTTATGTCTCGATAATCAAATCATTCCATTAAACTAATGACAGTTAAAAATCTTTGTTTCATTTTTTTTTTTTTTTAAAGTGTAATGTGTGACTTTAATAGTAAGTTTAATATAATTGATCCAATCTTCAAATTATTGTTCGAAATAAAATTATTTTTCTTTTTGGAAAAAAATTGCCAATCTTCTTTCTCTCTCTCTTTCTTTTACTTCAACGATTGGTGCAAAAGATTTGTTGTTTTACAAAAAAAAAAGAAAAAGCACCTTTTTATAATTGTCATAAATGCCCCATATATATATATATATATCTAATATCCCCATTGTTGTTATAATTCTTCATGCCCTGAAGATTTTTCTAAAAAAAAAACAAAACAGAAAAAAGTAAATTAATTGTTTGCTTTAAATAATCAATCAATCAATCATCATCGATACGATTTATCACCCCTCGTTAGATAATAATAATAATAATAATAAAAACAATTTTTCAAATCATCAATCAATCATTCAAACCTTTTCCAAAGCATTAATCAGTCGTTACCAACCACATACAAAAAAACAAAATGGCCGACTTGCTACCCCTTTTAAACCCAAACTTTTCCTAACGTTCTTTCTTTCCTTACTATTTTTTATATAAATAAGAAAATGTCGAGAGAATTAAATAACCGTTAAAAATTGTATTAAATGTGTTGCAGAATAAAGCTCTATGGTACAGCAAAAGCTCGAAACTTTGTCTTTTTTGCTTTTTAAATGTATATTTACACTAGGTGTGCTCCCTTTGAGCATGAGGATGCACATGGTTCAAAGTGTGGGTACGGTAAAAAGTATATGTATAAAGAATATGGTCACGACCGACATTATCCAAGACCAGGCATCTTCGTTAAACTCGGTGTCGGGTCCCAAATTAAAGCCCTCTGGAAAAAATGATTTAAATGTTTTCTTTTTTTTTTAAAACCATCATGGCGGCATGTTGGTAATGGCGGCGATGCACGTAGAAGAACACGCGCGCCCAACGTCATAAATGCATCACCGCGTTTGTTGTCCAATAAGAAAAAATATTATTATTATTATGGATTGGTTGCATGCAAACAACAACAATCAGACAAACAAAGAATGTTTTCGTTATGATCGATAGACTATAACTCATCTCGAGTTAATGTTGGAAAATTTAACTCACCTTTTTCATCAAACGATGCCTCGTCCAAAACGGGAGGAACCCTTTTCGATTTGTTTGATTTCTTTTTTTCTAAATTATCCTTATTTAAATTTGCTGTTGCTGACGACTTGTCAGCTTTCCCCGTCACGTCATCCGTGACGTTTAATACTTTGGCTTTGGCATCTCCTCCTCCTCCTTCGGGAATGTTTTCTTCAAAAGTTTCATTTTGATTTGATTTTTTATCCGTTTTTTTCGGTCTCCATAATTTTGCTTTATTAACCAAATATTTAACTTCTCGATCCAAAGCTGCCATTTTTTCCGTTATTGATTTTATCGTCATTTTCGGGGGAGACGTCAATGGTAACTTTGATTGTTCCAATTCGCTATTCGTCTTCCATTCCTGTTTTTTGTAAATAATTTCAGTTTTATTTCATCTTCTTGGCTTCATGATATTCTTCTTACCGGAAAATATCGTACCTGAGTTTCGTTGATTACTTTTTCCAGTGTATTGATTTCCACCTCGGTGAAAATGGCTTCGTCTCCTTTATCCAATGCTTCTTTCGTTTTTGTTTTCACCGTGTCCAAAAAATTTTGCGAACCGTTAATCATAGAGTGTAAAGCTGCAAGTGCTTCCGGTCTTTCTTCGTGTTCGCTCACTCTTTTATACAGGGGACCCGTTAATGTTTTTATTTGTTTTAATTTGGCATCGTACACGTCCGCATCTGCATTGAATTCTTCGTCCAACCAATTGGAAACCTGTGAACGATTAAAGGTACGAAGGTTAGGTACTCGTATAACACGATGATTAAACGTTCGATAAAAAAAAAAATTTAAATTACTTCTTGACATTCTTTGACAATGTTTTCTTTTTCATCGTCCGTTGCCGTTTGCACGTACATGTCCGATTCGATTTTCTGCAGTGCATCGAAAACGAAACTTTCCAATGCGTTTCTAGACTTTTCTTTTCTCTGCTTCAAATTATCATTTTCGTTCAATGCTTCGATTCTAAAAATATATAATTTATTTTCTTAATTAAAACGCCCGTTATAATTTATATTAGAGTTCAAAAAATAACATGTTATTACTTTTTAAAAGAATCTTCCATTTGTTCATCGGTCAAAGGTGGTACTCCGAGGTCTTCGTAGGTAGCCGAAACGTTTTCTTTGATTATGACAATTTTAGGTTTTTTGCCAGACGTTCCCGTGACGTTTTTACCCGTTTGTTTGTCTTCTCCTTGTTTTTCCTTTCCATCTTTATTTTCATCATTTTTACCATCGGATTGTTTTCCGGATGACTTTTTTTCATCGTCCGTTTTTTCTTCCGATAGATTTTCAGAAGATTCTTCCGCTCCTTTTTTTGCAGCATCTTCGGATTGCGAATCCGATCCTGTAAAAAATTATTATTATTATTATTATTTTTAAAACCGAAATTTTAAACATTTTTACAGACGATAAATTCATCGTACCGCCAAATAATTTAGTAAAACTAGATCCAAGTTTTTTCAATGTCGATTCTTCTTCCTCTTCCGGTTCATCCGTAACGGTTTTTTCGGCAACGTAATCAACGTTTAACAAATACAATAATCCGCTTTCGTCCATAGCAAAATGAGCTTTGATTCCTTTCGATTCTACATTTTTTCCCTCGTGTTTTTTTATTATGTCTTTCACGTTATGAATGTGTACCAAACTTAAATTTAACGGTCCCAACATTCTAAAATTTTTAAAATGTCACATAATTATGTAATATCGTATATTTTTTATTGTTTTTTAAATTAATTAAATGATATAACTAACTCGATTTCGTTTTTCGGAAGGTAATCCATATCACCGTAATGAACGTTAAAATTAAAATCATTCACGTGTTTGTTAAATGTAAGAATTTTCTTTTGCGGATATGGATTCATGACGTTGAATAACGTTTTTTTTATGTATTTGATTTCATCGGTTTCATTGTTGGCTTTTTGAAAAGTTACCTAATTAAAAATTATTTTTATTTTAAATGATGATTCCATTAGTTAGTTGAAACATTTGATAATTGATAAAAATTTTACCTGTACGGGAAACAAAACGGCATCTTTATTAATAAATTTTTTCACTTTAAATCCGGTTGATATGTCTGCAGCTTTGTAAACTGCTCCCATGACAGCTGCTTCATCCGTATTAATGTTCTTACCCAATTCTTTTTTTACAATATTAGTTAGTATTTCTTGAATTTTGGGAACTCTGGTACCGGCTCCCACAAGAATAACCTGAAATAGTACATTTCATGTAAAATGATAGAATGCTACCATAACTTGTGTGATTGGTATCAAAAATACCTGACTAATAATATCCATGGTAATACCAGATGTTTTGAGTGCTTGCTCGATTGGATTTTTCACTCTGGCAAATAAATCTTCGCACAATTTTTCCAATTCTTCTCGAGTCACATGAGTTTTAAAATCTTCTTCATCTAATAGCCCTTCCACTTGAGCAAAATGTTCAACATTTGCACTCAATACATTTTTAACCCGTCCAGCCTCTTTAAATAATTTGGCCATCGCTCTGGGATTTGAATATATGTCACTTTTTGTTTTTTTATTTTCTGTGAATTTTTTGGCCAAATGCTTTTGCAATCGCAATTGCATTTCTAAACCACCCAGCGTGCGGTCATAGCTAATAAATATTTAAAAATTTTTTTTGTAATTATTATCAAAGACAAAAGATTTAATTTTTATATTAGGATGTGAAATTACCCGACTCCGATCACAGTTGCTTGAGGATTTGTCTCCAAAACTCCTCTATCTTTTTGTTTAACCATTTGATAAGCAACAATTGATGCAGTGGTACTAGAAGCCCCCATATCATAGAATAATATGTATTGTGTTGTATCATTGAAATCTTTTGATCTAAATATACCATAGTTTAAAGCCACTAAACAAAAATTTTTTCATTTTAAACCATTCACGAAAACAAGTTCGAATTTAACTAACTTAGGCAATATGGTAAATAACTTAATAACCTGCAGTATAATCATTGATCAATTGAAGAACTTTAATTCCTCCTAGATTTGCTGCATTTATAAGAGCTCTTCTTTCAACTTGATTAAAAAAACCAGGGACAACCAAAACAGCATCTGTTATTACCTGTCCTGCAGATTCTTCTGCAAACTCTTTGGCTTTGTGAAGAAGCATTCCGATTAATTCTTCGGGGGTAAACTTTGTATTACTAAGATGAAAAAAATTTATTAATTGTCAAAAGTATAACACAAATAAAATTAACACTTTAGATTAGATTAGGTAATATTCTTTGGCTTGTATATATAAGAATAATTTGTAATTAAATAAGTTACCTATCATGCTTAAATACAACAGTACCACGAACTGGATCTTCTTCTATATTATAATAAGGAAATCGTTCTTTGTATAGATTGACTAGAGGATTGTCAATTTTTTTCCCTAACAAATCTAAAAGATATCCATAACCATTTGATGGAAATCTGACAGCTATATTTTGAGCATCTTCTCCAAATAACCTTTCATCATTACGAAAAGCTATAAAAGCAGGCGTTTTTCTTTTAGATTCCTTATTTAAAGCAATTTCCATTGGCACACCAGGCTGAAAATAATTATTGTTTTATTCACTTCATTCCTTTTTTTTTTATTAATTTCAATACTTTAGTCATGAAAAAAAAGAAAAAATATGTTTTTTATAAAATTCAAGGTAATGTAATAATATTTACTGAAACTATTGCCACTTTCATCCATTCACTTCCAAAATCGACACTCATGACAGCCACTCCATTTGTATTATTAACGACTATTACTGAAATGACCAGTAAAAAACAAAGTCCCCGAAGTGGGGAGGCCATATTAATATACCTGAAAAGGGAAAAATATACATCAAGAATACGATTTAAATCATTATTTTGGCATTTGCAAAAAAAAATTTAAATGAAAATATAATTTTAATAAATTTATTAAACTAAAGAATATTAAAACTTATTAATTAAATATTTAAAATGAAATGTTTAATTCATTATTTAAAACATTAAGTCGGCACTTTAACATAAAGTGTATTAATCATAAATCATTTTGATTAGCAAAAAACTAAATTATTTCAATATATATATATAATTTCTGTATAACAAAAGAAGAAAAATTTTTTTCTCGATTAAATTTAAAAAAAAAAAATATATATACAATGATATGAATAAAATTTTAAAAAAAATGATTATCTTACAACACACAATAATAATAATCTTGAAAACGTATTGAGAAATGAAAGAATATTATTTCCACGTTGTAATAATGCTCCGTGTGTGTCGAAATATGATTGGTTAAAATTTTCCTACTCATTACTTTTCGTCTGCTGTGTTGTTGTTATTCCCGCTTTATATAGTAATAAGTTTTTGCTTAAAATTATCTACAATATAATTATTTTACAATTTTTAAGTTTACAAGTATTTAAAACTTAAAATTTTTAATTTTCATTTTAGTCAATTGACAAATTTTTATTTTACGACCCCGTATATTTAACCAGCCTATATTTTTTTGTAAACTTACATATTTTATAGTTCGGATAACGTGTTAGTTGGACTTTTATTTAAAAATAATATTCTGAAATGATTAAAATATTAAATTTAAACTTTTTATACAAGGTAGGAACATTGCATTTTGTATTTTGTATTAATGGTCGATTAACTTAAATGATTTTATTAATGTAATTTGAAAAAATTATGTTGCAAAACTAATTATTTAACCTTTTTAATCATTGTTAATTTTATTTATAAGAAAATAAGTAAAGTAAATCGAAAAATTTTCCAGTTATACTACTAATAAAATTTTATTTAAAAATCATCAACAACTGATCGATTCGTGTTCCAATTAAAAAAATTTAATATTTATTTTATTGGATTGGTTTGATTTAATAAACGTTATCGTATTATTATATTCTTATGTAACGTTTATGTTTGAAATTAAATACTTCAGCGACGGGTTTTTATATAATTTTTTTTTAAACATATGTATCCGGACGGACATGTGCGTATTTTAAAAATCAAAGCCTCCTCGTTGTAACGGATATTAATAATTTTGTTTATCAACGATTACATTTTGTCTTCTGCTATTGTTTTTAAAAAAATTGTTTCTTTACAGCGCTTTTTTGTGTGTAGCGTCTTAAAACTGAACTAAGAGGTTTACTTTATCCAAACCGTGCGTTCTGATTGGCCAGTGAATTTTGCAGACCGTTTGGTATGAAGCCTTGTGTGGTGTTTCTGTTGGTTTCTTGGTATTTTTGAAGGTAAAATTTTGTTTTTATACCATTTGCGAATGCTAATTAAACGCAGTTACTAACATTTATTCATAATTTAAATTTTTTCGTTATAATTATGTTTGATCAATGGTTATTTTTTTTAAATTTGCATGCTTTAAACTGCCTTCGTTTGTTGACGCGTAATGGCGGACCTTGTGACCCATATTTTTTTGTTGGTGTTTATATATCGTAACAATAATAGTTTTTACAAAGATACAAATTGATGTCAGTAATTTATCATTTTGTAAGTCATCACTAGTTTCACACTGACATTTTCATAAAGTTAATAAATGTTTTTTTCAAAAAATATATTCATTTTTTTCCACGTATCATTGATAGTTTTTATTTGTGGATCGCCATATTCTTCAATTCGGTCGTTGCCTAATTTGGAAAACTTCTCTAACACTTCACAACCCTTTCCCAGCTATATTTTTTCAATAACCGAGAATAAAACCCACTGTAATCATTATACTTTTGAAAAAAATTATAATCATCATCTACCTTTCTCAGTACTTTGAATTTGTTTTAATTGTGCAACAATCAAAAACTTCTCTTAAAATTTTTTATGTTAAAAATAAAAATCTGACTGAAATTTATTGTGTTTATTAAAAACTAAAAAATTATTTGATTAAATGATGATTTTTTTACATTTTGTAACCCTTGGCACTTACTCTTCGCCATATTAAACCTTTTAAAATTGTTGTCCATTTGTTTCATTTCTTATACCTATTCTTAAACACCTAATTCAATTGTATGCTGTAGATTTAAAATAATTTATACCTGAATTCATATATTTGACAAAAAATAAACAGAATAAGAAAATATTTTGAACCTGTACTTAAAAATTTCTGTTAAGATTAGTTGAGTAGTTCAAAATGCTTTGTGTAGTTTTTTTTTTTCCCCGAGAGCTTTTCCTTAATTATTTGTTTTTTTTTTAAATTAGTGACCTTTTGATTTTCCATTTTCTTAATTGTAAAATAAATTTTAGTAATCAGTTTAGAAAAAACACATCCATATTTAAAAAAATATAAGCCAGTTATTAATTTAAAAAAATTTGTGTCTGTTTGTACTTTACGTTTAAAATTTGTAAAAAAAAAAATTTTTTGAAAAACTATTTTAAATTTTAATATGATACTTTCAATTATATAATATATATTAATTAGGAAATTGTTTCTTTTTCAATTCAAGTTAAAAGTAGACAAACTAGTTGAGAGAAAAAAAAAAAAAAAAAATTTTATTTAGTGCTGGAGGCTGCCATCGAGTTTTTTTTTTTTTTTATGCATGTCTATAAAGTATTTTTTAAAGCATGCTGTCTTAGTATCATTTTAAATAGCAAGCAATCATATTTATTAGCTTAGTGTAAAAAAAAAATTATAAGCATCACTCATAAATATTAATTTTACCAAAAAAAAAAAAAAAAAAAAATGGCAGTTTTTGTAAATTATCGTGATTGTGATATAATTTTTCATGATAGACAAATCGATGATGATGATGGTGAGTTAATTAATTTTCAACTTAAAACTTTTTGTGTGTTTATATATTTTTCATCATCACCATTTTATGTTGATTTGTAAAAAGTTTTTTACAAGTTAACAATTTAAATCCAGTTTATATATAAATCAAAAGTATGAAAATCGAATAAATTTTTGTCCCTAGATAAATATGGCTGAAGTGTGTTTGTGTTTGTGTGTGTGTGTTTACATACAAATTTACAATTTTTTTTTCTTTTTTTTTTTAATTCAAGTATCATTTCTGGTTTTTGCCTGTGAAAAAAAACAAAAACAAAAAAAAAAAAAAAAAAAAATTGGTCAAGGTTAAAGCAAACGAAATCTTTTTAAAAAAAACAGCCTTAATTGGCACAAATATTAATTCACATATATCGGCCTGGCGTCGTATCATCAATAACATAATGATGACATTCTAAAATACTTTTTAATAAAAAAAAAAAAAAAATAGTTACTACCTATTATTATTATTATTATTATTATTATTATTATTATTATTATTATTTTAATAGATTTTCTTAGAAGAAAAACAGGTTTTACGTTTTAAAAGAAGAAGAAAATTTTTTTTCCCAACATTTTAAATTGTTTTTTTTTTTTTTTTTTTTTTTTTTTCAATAATTTTTGATTAGGTTAAGAAATTTTCCTCGAAATTATTTGTAAAATAATAAAAAGGGAGGACTACTACCCTTGTCTTCCCTTTTCTATCCCGTAAAAAAAAAAAATTTTTTTTCCCTTTTTCTGGTGATAATAAAATGATGATAATCGAGTAAAACTAATTTTGTGTTTTGAGTTAATCAACGTTTTTTTTCCTCCATTTTTTTTTTTTTTTTTTTTTATATTTACCCGAGTATTTTTATTATTTAAAATAATTCTTTTTGATTTAATTATTTCCTTTTTATAGCATTGGCTTTTAAAAAAAAGGAAAGGGAAAAAAGGAAAAAGAAAAAAGGAAAAAAAAGGAAGAAAAAATTTTGCGGAAAAGCTTGAATTTAATATTTTTAAACAATGACCTGTTGTTTGTAAATTTTTCTTGTTTTTTTTTTTTTCAATAATAATGATAAAACAAACAGATGGTATTGAATAAATTCACACTAATATTATTATTATTATTAGTATTATTATTAAATAGAAAATAATAATAATAATAATCGGCGTTTCAAATATGGCCACCACAAAAAAAAAAAAAAATTATAAAAGAAAAGTCATTTGAAATCATCGTTTATTTTTCTTTCTATTTTGCACTTTTAAAATATTTTGAAAAAATAATATTAATAATAATAATAATAATAATAATAATAATAATAATAATAATAATAATAATACGGAAA